GGTACATGAGGTACCTAGGTACCTACCTAGCCACTAACCCTTTAAACGCCAAACGAACCCTCGCAATTCCTTGTCCCCTAAAAACCGACGTGGCACCTATAAACCAACAGCACGGGGAAAAAGAGGATACGCGAGCGTTGGATGCAGTGTATCAAAGAGGTACTATGTAGCTCCATTGAGGCCCTATGCGCGGAATGCTACATGCCAAGAATACAGATGTAGGGATCTCATAAATGACCTACATATTATTATTTACGTCGGTCTAAGTTGCTGCTTTGATTGACGCATATCCAGCTCAATGGCAAACGAGTCCAGGAGCTGGTTCACTGTGGATCGTACACGACTACCATTCCATGGACGAATTGACTCATAAATCGCCATTCCCCAGATGACGAACCAACAAGCTCTGTAATTTCTTACGTATGGAGTAATTACAGCACAGTTGCACCGAGCCTCACTTGCAAGTCACCGGTTTCAATTACAGCATTACAAGTGAAGCCAGCATAGCACTCTTTTGCATAGTGGCAATAAGTACCTAGTATCACGTCACCGGGCATCGGCGCCGTATAGGCTTCCTGCCTTAGTTTATAAACTGATAACTCACAGTATGTCGTCTGTCTATGTCGATGTGTATCGCAGTACCGAAGAATCGTCATATACATTCAAAGAGCCGCTTCACGTCTTACTCTCTCTTATACAGAATGTCATTATCCGTCATCGTCATCTATCGTCTATATTGCCCAAGCGCCCAATGTCTCATTAATCATATTCCTTCCTAACACCTCTCCCCGCACGTCCGTTGGCATGCCGTCGTCCGTCCACGATTGCGGTAGAGGCGAATGTATATGCGTATACATTTACAGGTCGCTTCTTTGCCGGCAACGAATTCAGTGCTTCCCACATCTCCATGATACCCGCCCTACGCGCCGGGAGCATGCTATATTGTAAAGAGTAGAGGGCTTTCCTATGAATCGGTGGGACAAAACGGCCCGTAAAGAGACAAAATAACACTCGAGGTGATAAATAGTGTTTGCGAATACGACTGCCCATCTGGAAGTATTGATGAAACATTGCTGTAAACGCGAGAGGTATAGGCTGTATTATGTTAGTTCACCATCCATCAAGAGGAAATAATTGGCATATCACCAACCTTTACATAAATTATGGAGGTGGGTTGCGAAAGGGAAGGCGGATTCGATGTACAATTAACACTAAGTCTATATGGGGTATCACGAAGTTCAAAACGAATGCCGCCTGAGTTAAGGTCAGCTATAAAGTTGCGCCATAGGCCAAGATTCGATTCTTATAGAACTTACCTGGGAGACGCCGAGGATCTTTACCCCTTAGCATCAACGCGAACAATGGAAAATGATTTAAACAAGAGAGCAGTGTGTCGAAGATGGCCTTGAACGATATGATGACCATGCGCGCTAGGGCAAAGTTAAGGTAGAACACGACAACGGTTGGCAGTAGGAAGAAGAGAAGCGTAAATAAGATGGTGCCGACAAGAAGCTGGTCGAGATCGTAATCGCATGCATCGACACGGTTTCGTAACACGTTATACTTCTTGCCTCGAAATAACTGGAAAAGGGAAAGTAAAATCGTTAACTGCCAGTGGAAGATGCGTGCCGAGGCAAGATAAAACGAGTAAATGTGAATTGTAAGGACCGAGAGCAGATCGGAAAAAAACGCAATAGGCATACTAGCTCCGGCAAAGCTAGAAAATCCAATGAACCAGACCATATGAGGCAGTAAGGGCTCCAAAGTGCTGATGCAACCAGACCAGTAATCAATAACCCAAAGGAACAAGTCGCCCAAAAATAAGGCTAACTCGCTATTCAGTTTTAGGCCAGCAGGCCAGCCCATGAGCCAAGAGATACTACTTCGTAGTAGATCGATAGTATAACTCTCCAAAAGCATGCTTATCGTGTCAGCCACCCACTCAGCGTTGTCGATGATGTATGAACCGAGGGCGATGCCGATAATGACGTCGTTGGCCACGAGCCATAAACTGTTATAAAAGCGTATGTAATCTGGGTGACTGGTCGTAACACTGGCCCAGTCGTTTTTTCGTAGACGGAGTTTGACATACTGCATAGGCCAATAACAGAATTGCTGGAGACGTATTTCCACTTGCTGAGCTGTTGCAGACACGTCCTTGAGTGCAGGCGAGTTTGGTCGGGCCCTCCATTCTAATATAAGTAATAGAGCTTCGGCTGCGCATCGGTGGCCAAGAAGAAGAAGCACAAAAGCCCTACGTATTATGGGAAATGCGTAGAGAATAACCATGTCCCATATCCAAAGGACTATGTAATCTCTCATATTCGCGGCCTGTTCAACCACTCGCTCAGAGACACTGAGAGTGCGCTTCGGTCTGGTGCCAATAAGCGGCACATTTTTCTGCAGCAAATGTTCCAACTCCCATGACCAGTTAATTTGATTGACAATTCTCTCGAGAGCTCTATCCTTCAGTGAAGGGGTATGCTTTACCACGGAATGATCCTTTAACTTATCTACCAGGAGACGCTTTTTTTGCTTGTTCCTTCGTTGCTGTTTTTCTTCCTCGACCTCGGAACTATCGGGCGTATGATGCGATGCGTCATGCTCCTTGTCAGCAAGCGAGAGTGCAATCGGGTTCAAGGATATATATTGCATGCGATGCGGAATTGGCCTCTCGAATAGAACGATTTGAATGCTTGATGCTCTCGGACAGGTGATCTTGGGCACTTGATGAGATGGACCAATGACGGCTCGCACCCATGAGGAGTCTGGCTCGATATCGGATTCGCGGTTTGTAGTACCGAGAACATGCATAGACGACTGTCCACAAAGCTCAAATATTCGAGGTATAGGATGAGGCGCGCTCCTTAATAGAATACCGGCCTTAAGCGCGTTCTCGACATTTCTTGGCTAAGATACAAGAGCGTTAATAGAGAACCGCAGTACACTAGGGTCAAATTGCTCACGTCGACATGGTCTAAGACAGCGATAACGACAACGTCGAGGATCGAGTTCCTCCAGCCGACAATAACACCAGGAGCATCAGACGTAGGAATGTCGATCGGCCAAAATACCCTCATCAGTCCATCATACTCTGGCATGACCAGGTGATCAGCGTCAGAGCACTCCACTTAGAAGGAGCCTCTGCGCCGAAGTTGTTCCCGAGCAGATATTCCAAGACTAGGCGATCGCGGATGCTACAAATTGCTTATTAGTCACAAGTTGAACTCGGAACTAGGAAGAAAGGTTGCAACTATACCAGATCGACTTCTATTCGAGCAATGTGTTGCACGGGTACGAATATGAGAACAAACGCGAAACTCAAGAGAGCAAATCCCTGGGTGACGCGGGCCTAGATTGAGGGTAGTCAAGCATTAGATAAATATTCCTCCTTTCTTTTTGTATTCTTCTTACTAGATACCCATGCCTCCTATTTCTCAAATGTAGCGGGCAATTAGGACATCTACTCACAATAACACCTTTATCCCAGGCAAAAACGGCCAATTCGTAGAGCCGAGTAACTAGATCCCATCGAGCAGTGATGTAGCCAGCTACAAAGATCGCAAGGGTGAGGATGGAAAAAGGGTGCATGTAGGAAGTCGGAAGCGAATGTTATTCGGGTCGCATGGCCTATAGTCTCGGTATCTTTCTTGGAATTTGCGCTGCAAGGTAAAGGAGACCCTTATAGTCATTAATTCACCAGGTTAGGAATCTCCTATGCGACAATATAGCTTCGGCTGCCGTTGTCTTGAGTAATATCGGTCGTTATCGGTTGTCTCGGGTGAGGTCACAGTGGGCAATCGCGATGTTGAGTCTGGTTGAGTCTGCGCCAACTTTGTCGATATTTGTCGCACCAGGTTTTTTTGTAGTCCTTCGTATTCCAATTCACCAACCGTAACAAGTATAACGAGTGACGAGGTTTGATGAGAGAGGATTAGTTAGCGGTAGCCTAGCTTGTGAACTTGAATGTTGAAGATGTTTGTTGCTGCCCCTTGCAGTTTAGAGTCGCAGAGTTGCATTGCGTATTGCGTGTACTTTTAGGTTATCGATAGACCCCAAAGCCGTTTCATTAGCCACAAAAAAAATTAATTTAGCTGGGTTGCGATCACCCGTCTGACGTCTGACGTCGAGGCCTCAAGTGCTCTGCAAAGCTCCGACCTGCCGATCCACTATTAAACCTAAGCCCAAGTACGGCGCTGAGGTTGACAAGCCAAAAAAAAAAACCCCTTCCGCCCCAGATTCACTAACAACCTCACAATTGGACAATAACCTTGGACTCATTTTCAAGTCAAAGAAAATCGAGTTTGAATAAGTTGAGTGTATTAAATATGGTATGCAAAACGTTATAATAACACATTGCCACCCAAAATCTCAACATACCATTTCCAAGGTACTAAATTAACGGTATTGTATAAGCCTTGAGTTGAAAATGTTTTATACTCGCGGAAAACAAAGGACTTACACAAGATGGGAGAAACCAGTAAAGATAATCGAGAGGGGGGTTTAACACACTTTAAATAGTTGGAATTGGGTTATACTGAATACGAGCTCTTACCCCCATCTCCATCCCCCATTTTCTTGAGCTACTTTTGTACATACACTAATAACCCGCCAAGATATTACGGTTGCGTCGCTTCGCTGTGATAGCCCTGCCCTGCATTCCCTTTCAACTCTTAATCTCATTTTGCTAGCGGTCGTCACTTCAGCTAGGGCATGGTAAGGCTGGGCTCGGTTGGTAAAACCCGAGCAACAGACCGCGGGGTTGATTTAGAAGGATGACATTGGCTGAATTGGCTGGCTGGTTGAGATTATCTCACAACCTGACAACTCGCGGGACTCGTAGCCAACGACCCACGGCTCATCTGCAGTCAGCTCAAGCATTCAGCTTCTAGGTGTATGTACGTATGTAGTTTAATGACCCATCCATTTCCAAGGTTCTAATGGAGCAGTTCGGAAACTCGGCACTTTCTGCGGGCCAGTTAATCGTCTCTCGGGTTTCGTCATTTCTTTTTCATATGAAGAGCATCACTTTCTTTGCTATCTTCTCTTGCTTCGTCCAGGAGCTTATCTATACCTCGTTCTTTAAGAGCGACCTATAAAAGTACATTCATTAGTATCTAGGTGGTTAGTGACAGGCCTATATCCTAAGATCAGAGGACCCCTCCAATAGGTTCAACTAAGGGCGCGAAGTTTTGTTACCAACCTGGAGACATTTTTGGTAATCTTTAAAATGTTTAGCACACTCATTGTCGTCTGCTTTACCATTGCCTCGTAGGTATTCTAGGGATTGTTAGACAGAACCAAGAAAGAATACCAATTCCACATACTCTCGCTATACCACTTAAGAAAGCAAGTATCGTATCGCCTAGTTACAGCCATCATCAGCTTTGGTAAAATTTACCTTAGGATATGAAACTTACTCCTTCACTTCGTTACACTCCGGCGCAAGAGAGGCAGACATATTGGTATATTAATACTAACTCGTGATTCGTAATATACAGAGTAAATACACAACATCAAAAAGTTAAGAGTGAATGAATTAAGAGTGAATGAAGATGGTGACAGCTGCAGCTAATGCCAGGATGTACAGGTAGAATACGGTTATCGCTATCTTAGCGCATGCAGTACCTGAGTACTTACCTTATAAGGTTGTGTAGGATCCATGTGTTTGGTACATCCCCGCAACGCGAATTCCGCTAGCTATACGGATGACCCTTTCAAAAGTTATGTCCATAGGAAGACCCTTGCCAGGCCCGATACGCACTGACCATGCTTGCCGACAGCTGCTCACCAACTTGAGGCATGTATCATATTTTACCCTATTATTTTCAATAAAGATATCTCCCTTTCAAGGTAATTCTATAATCTTAAAAAATCATATTTATATAAATAATTAAACGAAGAACCATATATTATCTTTTTCTATTTTTAATACGATTTCTTCGTTGGAATGCAACTTAAAATATAAACCAATGTTTTATATATACATTTATCTTTAAGTCGCCAGGTGCTGCCGAGTTGTGGTCCGTGCGTGTCAGGCCTGACAAGGGCGCCCTATGGACAAAACTTTTGAAAGCGTCATCCGTATGCATTATCGATAAGCACCTTAGGCCTATGCGCTTAGAATTTTTTGAATTGGTCCAGCGCATTTTAATCCCTAAACATCGTCAACTCTTTATCGTCAGGTTCCCTGTCGCTAGCAAAAAGCAGCGCTTAAGCAGCGACCATGGACCCCCCCCAAGATTTTAAGTCCATACAGGAGAATATCCAGACAGCTCTTGTAGCCACTACTAGGTTGACCAACCAGATTGCCGCCGAAGATATCAGCTTCCAACGAACAAGCAACCCGGATGTTGAAGAGCAGTTAGATGATACATCCTCGCGCCTTCTCTCGCTAGCCACGTCGCTCCTTTCATCTACAACCAAGGGCACCGATCTAAAAGGCCCGGCTCTTGAGGATAGCGACGATGTTGATGTTCATTGGTCGCGCATTATCGACGTGGTAGACACACTGCTAGAAAAAGCCGATACTTGCTTGGATGAGTACACAGGCGTAATCAAGAGGAAGGCCGCACCAACTGAACAGCCGGGGCCGTCACAAAAGAAATCAAGATCTACTACACTAGAAAACTCTCTTCGGCGCGCGAATATTATCAAACCTCAGAATGCATTCGAACTAAAACCAAACAATCTCGACCCATCGCCCTGGAAGCCGATACTCACTACAAAACCGCATGCGCTTATCTCTCTCGAACAGAGCCTAGGGACTTTCGTTGATGATAACCAAGCAACTCAGTACGTCTCTTACTCTTTTCAGGGCAGAATGTTAATAAGTTTATCGTGCAGCAAACTAACAATTATATTAGATATAAACATCCTTATGATACCGAAATTCACAAGCTACAGTATCCAGAAACCGTTTTTCAAGCGCGAGAACCCATAAAATATCAACCCGTCGAAACCACAACAGCTACCTTTGTCGACACCTTTGAGGGCGTTTTAGATATGCTTAAAGAATTAAAAACTGCTACCGAAATTGCGGTCGATACGGAACACCATGACTTCAGAACATACAGCGGTCTACTATCGTTGATGCAGATCAGCACGCGCGAGAAGGATTGGATTGTCGATACTCTTCAGCCATGGCGTCACAAACTCGAGGTTTTAAACGAGGTGTTCGCCGACCCGAAGATCGTCAAGGTTAGTTATAATCGCCCGCCCAATTTCATCCAAACGTCTAACGAGAATAGGTGCTTCATGGTGCCTACATGGATATTATCTGGTTACAGCGAGACTGTGGTATCTATATCGTGGGACTTTTCGATACATTCGAGGCCGCAGTAGCGCTTCAATATCCTAGTAGGAGCCTCGCATATCTGCTCAAAAAGTTCGTCGACTTCGATGCAGACAAGAAGTATCAATTAGCTGACTGGAGAATACGGTATGGATCGATCATAGTTCCAACATACATATCGTACTTAAGCCTTGCTGACTAGATAATAGCCCGATACCTGATGAAATGTTCTATTACGCGCGCTCAGATACCCACTATCTTCTCTATATCTACGATATGTTGCGTAACGAGTTACTGGAACAAGCCCCAAAAGAGTCAAGATATAATCTGATGAACCAAGTTCTCGATAATTCTAAAGAAACTTCCTTACGACGGCATGAAACGTCCACGTATGACGCTGAAAATGGCCAGGGCCCCTTCGGGTGGTATAACCTACTCATAAGACAGTCTGCCGGGAAGTTTTCAAAAGAACAATTCGCTGTATTTCGGGCCGTGCATAAGTGGCGGGACGAGATGGCTCGTCGCGAAGATGAAAGCTCATTATTTGTTATGAGTAATGCGACGCTTTTCGACATAGCCAGACGTATCCCGCCAGATCCTAAGGCCCTCCATAGCCTGGTTGATTCCACATCCCACATAGCCAAGCGTGAGGCATTTAACCTATTCAAGATTATTAGTAAAGCCAAGGCGCAAGGAGTGAATGGACCCACCGTTACTGAGGTTATTCGTAGCAATGCACCACCTACGATGGGTATTGGTGAAGTCGCGAATTCGGTCCTCCCTCAATTACGAAATAACGATACAGGAGCCTCGGGAATTCAGGATGTAGTCTCTCAGACATCGAAATTGTGGGGGAAGGTTCCGATGAGCAGTCGATGGGAAGAGTCATCTACCCTCAAGACCAAACCAGCCGTGCAGTTTGAGCTCCCCTGGGCCCAATTTATTAAGTCGAGTAAGGTGCTGGAGGTTATAGATACGCCGGCACAGGAACCAGTCACTCATATGGAAGAATCGATTATCCACTTAGAAGACACCCCGGCAGCTGATAGCGAGTTTACACTCAAAGCTGGTATAAAGCGCAAAGCGCCTGAGGTCGAATCGGATTCCGAATCGGGAGAGGTAGATGATACACCATCCAAACTAAAATCTAATTCGACTGCTTTCCTTGATACGGATGAAATTGCCGTTCCCGACTCAGATGACAGCGAAGAGCAAAGAAAAGAGAGAAAGGCTAAGAAGGCTGAAAAGAGAGCTCGTAAAGAGGCGCTTAAGGAGGAGCGTCGACAAGCAAAGAAGCTAGCCAGGCGAGCCAAGAAGGAAGCGTCAACCGATGCGGCAGAAGTATCAGAAAAAGGAGGGGACGAAGAGAACGAGGATGAGCCTTTCGATTACAGCAAGGCAAAATCCGTTCTGAATGCATCAAGAGCTGCGAAAGGCGCTCCCCAGGCAGCCAGATTTAATCCTTATGGGATGACTATCGATGGTCCGAAACCTGCGAGGAAAATGCACGGAGAGAAGGCCGGCAAGAGCGTCACATTTAGGAAATAATACCCTTGAATCTATAGGAAGTGTCTGTACATAACAAAAGGGCACCCTTGTTTAGCGTTTTCCATGGTCGAGAAATCGGCATTTTTACGTTAACTTGCATTCTCAGGGAGTTGAAGGGTTATTCCAGGCCTGATAAGGCCTCCGGGCAATGGGAGCCATAGGTTAGTTGGCCAAATTCTAGGGATCACCTACGAAATCGCAATTAGGCATGGTAGTAATTGCGTTTAATAGATCATGCTTTCGGACGATACTAATACCTTCATCCTACATGCCGTCTTGATTTCATGGTATATATTACACAGACACGTATCCTCCTGGCGACGGAACGAATCACAAAGTGTGAAAAATAAGGCAGTAACTAGAATGGTGGCCGTTAGACTTCCTCGGTAGAAGCTTCGAAGTACCTGCCTACCGAAATTTACTACCTAGGCCTAGCAATGCCAGCAAGGATATATATAACAAGAATGCAGGTGCGTGAAATATAGTATATCGTATTCCATGTATCCATTTCTCGACCCTGTAGCTATGAAAATATCAAAATGCGGCTAACCTTCCCAATGTGAGTGGTCAATCAATGCTATGCCGCCGCGCTATTATACCATGGTGTAGGTACTGAATCCCTCCAAGCCAGACCAAGCGATCTATCCTGTAGTAGTAAGTAGCAAAAGTGTCCGTTCTTATAAGCGCTCTATACGTCTTCTCAGTGACAGCAACGACATAAACAGCCGCAGTGTCCATCGCAGTAGACCCTTCCGCCGTAATGGCCGGGGCAGAAGCCTCCGCAGTGGTTTCTGCAGTGCCGGCAGCAATTATAGTATCGTCGTCCGGCATCTGGTTCTCGGGATCGTCGGCGATGGGCTCGGATACTGTGGATGGGTTAGCAGGCAGGTAAAGCGATGGTATTGAGGTGCATGTATTTACGTGATTTCACTTTGGAAGCCCCTTTCTCCTCTTTCGCCTCGTTCCCCTCTCTCTCCTCTTTCCCCCCTTTCCCCCCTTTCACCTCGCTCTCCTTGCTCTCCCCTCTCTCCTCTATCTCCCATCTCTCCCCTTTCTCCTTGTTCCCCTCGGTCCCCACGGTCTCCTCTCCATCCCCTCTCTCCCCTTTCACCCATTTCACCTCTCTCGCCTCTCTCACCTCTTTCGCCATCCTGGCCATCCCGACCATCAGCGCCATCACGACCGTCAATACCGTCATAGCCATCGGTACCATTAATACCATCAATACCATCGCGACCATCCATACCGTCTCGGCCATCGATACCATTGATGCCATCTTGGCCATCTCTTCCGTCCTGACCGTCGACACCGTCCCGGCCATCGGCACCATCGGCTCCGTCTTTTCCGTCCGTGCCATCTCTCCCATCGATTCCATTCGTTCCATCCCTCCCATTGGCACCATCTTGGCCGTCAGTGCCATTTCGACCGTCGGCGCCATCCCGGCCATTAATCCCATCCCGGCCATCTCTTCCATCACGACCGTCGCGACCTGTTTATCACATTAGGAAGCTTTGCCAATAGACTAATTTATTTGAACCTCTCGGCCGAAAATATCCAGTAAATATAAGTGAGAAAAGGTACTCACCCGGTGGACCCTGTATCCCTTGTGCTTTTATGGAAATTAGCGTTACTCCCAACACGATAAAGGATCAAAAGGGGTATATATATTGTTATTCAAGCAGGTAGTTCTTAAACTTTTGATAAGCGAGGTAAACTTCTTACGTCCTAATGCCCCATTGGGACCTCGTTCACCGGCAGCGCCCTAAATACATATATTAGTGTATCGCAAACAGGATACAAGCTTCTGGCGGCTTACTCGTGGGCCGGGATCACCAATAGTGCCCTTAAGAGAAGATATTAGTCTAAATATTAGTTAATGTGATAATGCCGCCTTACTTGGGGACCTCGGTCGCCTCTATCACCAGGTGGACCCTGAACATGTCAATCGGTTGACTGGTTTATTTCATAATATTGGAAGCTTACTCGGGGACCTCTTTCACCACTTGGACCCTGGTAAGCGAGAATAGTTTGTTAAATAAGTGCTATCGTTGTACTGGTAGGTAGAGGCTCACCTGAAGGCCTCTTTCACCGGGAATACCCTAAAAGAGTGTCAGCTGACTACTACGCTTTCTTTAAACTATAGTAGTAACTTACTTGTGGGCCATCGTCACCACATGGCCCCTATGGAAACGAGAATATCAGTTTGGCTACTACAACCAGCCTATATAGTGAAGAGGACTTACCTCAGGACCTCTATCACCCGGCGGTCCCTAAGTGTCTAAGTCAATTATGTTGTTATAACTTCTTCATATGCTATCCAAAGCTTACCTGAGCACCAGGAAGCCCCTATTGGAAAGAGTAACAATGTTAGTTCGCTAAGTAAACTCTACCCATATGGCAGTAGAGACTTACTGGAGCGCCCTAGAATTCATCGGAAGGGAGATATTAGCCAGTTTTCAACGTTAAAGGAAAATAGAAAGGCCTACATCAAGTCCAGGAACCCCCGGTGGACCTTGCGGGCCTGGTGGACCACGAACGACCTTGAAATGGCTGTAACGATTATAATAGGTCTTTTTCGGCGACCTGCGTCCGCTGGAGGGACCTTTTCTGTTTTTACAACAACAAAAGTATATTGTGAAAATTAGAAGAGATAATACAAGAATCACTCCCATTACTATAAGGGCAGTGGTAGCGGAATTACCACTAGAACTAGCGGGTGCCGGGGTTGGTGTGGAAGACGTTGTCTCGAAGACTGCCACGTTTGCTTTCGTTTGATTCCATCGTTGGCTATTGCCCAGTGGGATTACCGCTACGCGTGTCTTAGAGGACTGGGCTATCGTAAAGGTACGGGAACCTTCCGTCCTACCGTTAAGTCCCGCGGGAGATGTTTGTTGTGCGAGGATTGTCAATGGAGTTGCAACACCCATAGTGTCCGGCCCTCGAAAGAAATGGAAAGACAGAGTATCGCACTGGGGCATTTATATCACTTACTCCCCAGTCTTTATTCTTTTGGATTTGTCGGGAAGCCCATAAGGCTGGGTAAGATAGGCAGGAAATATCGTAGTTTCGCCATTGTTCTCGTCCTCTGCATTCTGTCTACTCTACCTAGCGTAGGACCTCCTAAGCAGAAGCGAATCGAGCAAGGCGAATCTATGGGCTAGCAAGCTACGGGCCGAACTGAAAGCAAAAAGCCGGTATACTTGTCGATGGCATCATCACTGGCTGAGGTTCGATTCTAAACGAGCCAACAGTTGCCGCGATTCTGCGAATGTGTGATAATGCACAATGTCTTTGTTCGCAAAGCTGCATGGCCTGGGTGGACGGCCGGAGTGGACAGCCGTTGGCTGGAGGGGGTGTTGTTGGTGCACGAGAAATATCTGGCATGTTACGCATTGACCAGAGGCGAGGCTTCGAATCATGTGGCGTTCCAGCTGTCGAGAAGGATGGTAGCATACATGAATAAATGTACATAATGTTCCTCATCTCTTGTTTGTGGCCTGTTAGGTAGATTTGGAGACGACTATTACTGGTCGGCAGCCCGCTGTGCCATCGTACAACAAAGTCGGCGATAAACCACGATACCGAATTTTGGGGTCTACGGAATTTTTGACGGCTTGAGATGCGCATCTTCTACCATGCAGGCAGCCGTCACACCCCCTATATGGAAGTATGACATATGACTCCCATGCAAACGGCTGGTTAAAAACGACAGCCGACATCTAGTGCAGGGTGCGTTTGCACGAATATGACACTATAGGTAACATTTTCGTTTCGACCGGCGTAGAATGAAAGTTTGGAGGTCAAGGGAGGCTCATTAGGCCCTATAATAGGTATAGACGATCTACATGGAACTATGAAATTATCCAGTTATTACATTTCAGCTAATGGGTATTGTCAGAATGCGGTCTATCCACCTATGTTCGTGTTCGCGCACGGTCAGCCTCGGTCTCTTCGGCTGAGGATTTTCGGCTCGACTTATCGTTTCTCGGCTAGGTACATTTTGCATTTATATTCTCCTCAGCCTTCCCCGACCGCATCTCTTTTACAATGTTACCCCCATCCATAACCGTGCCCACGCACGACCGGCTAATAGATCGGTTACCAAAGGACAATGGCTTCCAAGCGATAGAAACTCCAAGATAAACACTTTGCGTTGTTGGTTGACTCCACAAGCTCCCAAGAAATGAAAATCAAGGCAGAAGTCTTTTGGCTTGAGTCAGTTGCCAACTTTACTTCCCATGATTGGAAGGGCAAAAACCACATGTAAATAAATAATATGCACCTCGAAGAAAGCGTGGGGGAATCTATTCTTCAAATACTGGGCTCGCGTTTTGATACTGTATATGCATTGTGTTTGTTGCCTTCGAAGCTCTTACTCGCGAGTTTATCCATTCACGTCCACTTAGGCTCTATCAAGGAACTAGATCTAGAATTGGCAATGCATTACGAAGACCTTGTAGACTACTTCTCGCGAACATACATTGTACAACCCACACGTGTCGTACGTCCTACCCATACTTGTGGTACATGATATTAGGCCTAATAGCTACTAGGTCTTCATATGACACACCCATTGAACAAATTATTTGTAAAACCCCCCACGCCATAGTTGTATGAGGATGATGAGTTCAAGAACTTCATTCTCGAGAGAAGCAACGAGTTCTTGTACCTCAATAGTTAGATATTGAATTTACAGACATACGATAGGATACTTATTGTTACCTATGTTGACGACACCTATCTATTCACGTACTACCTAATCCCAGAGGCTGAGCTAGGAGGTACCTACCAATTAGCCGACTAAATGTTTCGGCCCAACCATTGAACGGACGCCAATCACAGAAGAAACATGCCGTATCACGACGCAAAACTACCGAAGCAGCAAACTTTTACGTGTCTTCTCAATGTATCTGACTGGTATTAATGCCTCCTGACTTGTGAATGTCTTCCTCTGCCTAGACTATGCGCTTACTGTGGCGTGACGAGGAAACACGTCTCATCAAGATTCCAAATCTTTAAACTAAATAGGAAGGAGAGAATAATGGTTTGGTTGGCAGTGGGAATAACACGTCTAGGCTAGCTTGGGTGGTACATAGAAAACCGTTGTCGTCAGGATGACGCTTAAAGGTTAACGTAGCCGTCTTGGTTTGGAATACAAGTTTATAGAAGCTTCAACATGAAATTAGAGCCGTAATATCTCGGCTAATAGTTGAACAGTGTTATCCCTAGTGTACTTACAGCCGTAACGAACACACAAGTATGAGAGTTCTTCTAGAGACCCACATACATATAGTATCATACATAAAGCTCATCTTCAAAATTCAATTCTACAGTATATGTGTTTCAGAAGCGAATTAATTGATCTGTAATTGAAAAATTCTTGTTCCTTTGAATCTATCTGTCGTGATATATTTGTGTTGCACAGCCATATGATTGACCGACCGTTAAAAGGTCGCATACGTAACGCTAGGATAACTCTTATAATCTCCTCCTTGGCGCGAACTTATCTCAAGTAGGTCCTAGGTAATTAAGGTTGAATTTGGCCACTTGCTCAATATTAGGCATGCATCTAACATTGCAATGCGATAGTTACCTAGATACCTACCTAAACTAGTATATAATTACCTTAGGTACCTAACTTAGCTTGACATGTCCGCCTTTCAGGCCTATTTGTAGGATACACTAACCTTACAACCTGATTTCAAATGTGTCATTTTATAGTTTCCCACTATTAACATATCAACGCTAATATGCTTTTAGGGAACTGTATTTGATGCAAGTATTGTTACATCCCCTAAGAATAACGAAATCGTAGTAACTAAGCTCGATGAAAGTAAACTTCACCGGCCCCACACTGTCCGGGCCGTCCCGAGACTTCGACAAAAAATCTAAAAATAGCCTCTTTATTACCCAAGTTTAATTATAGGTAAGCTTAATTCGATCAACGTCAATTATAAAGACTTCCGATCAATTGTACAATATAGATTGGCAGAGCATAAACGATTCTATAAGACATTTTCGTATATTCTATGAAATGTATTTTGGCGATAAAATTGAGAGAGTCCCGAATATTCAACGCTATCAGCCCTATCCCAGGGCATCTCCACCTTTTACCTATCAAGGGAGGCAAGCCTCGAGGGTAATAGTCTCATCCGGAATTTCAACAGGAGTCTGTCCCCACGCCACTATCTTACCATCAGATAAGTTATCAAAGCTACGTTGGTTTCTGGAAGCCTTGACGGCGCGCACGCCTCGTTCCAGCATTTCTTTCTGATAGGGGCCTAAGAGAGACTCGATTTCGCTGGTATCGTTCGACTTTAGCTGCCCGATGGCCTTCGAAAGGTTTATCGCGTCACGAAGGGCGTGTACGCCGCCTTCACCACGGACTATGGGACTGGGGTTAGCCATTAATCCGAGCGATTGTTGTGACGAGGGGGTATTAGGTGATAGGGAGGAGCTTACATTGGCTCATTGGGTGAGCCGCATCGCCAAGCAGAGTTATTCTGCCAACCGGCAAGTGTTCAATCTCTGCATCGCGAATCATTAAAGGTTTAGGCCTGACCCCGCTCACAGGGGTCAACCTGACGACCTCAGAAAACCTGGGGTCAAAATTGCTCGTTAACTTAGTAACGTGATCGTATAGCTCTGCTTGTGAGGCAGATTTGGTCCAGTGGTCTTCATCAGCAATAGATGGATCGTTTTCCGTAACGAACCAATAGTACTGCCCGGACTTTCCGTCCGGGCTTACCCGGTTCAAGCCTACAAACTCAAAACACTTGCTAGGGTGTGGACCGACCGCTATATAGCAGCTGTGTGAGATAGAGAGCTGGCGTTCGAATGCTTCCCCCGACAAAGTTGTTTCGCCGCCAATAAAACAGCTTGGAACGGGACGGAGTAGTTCTTTGTTCGAGACTCCAAGGAGGTGTTCGCGTACTATTCATCTCCTGTAAGCTGATTTAACTTTCTTGGATTTAACGACGAGGGGTTGTGTAGGATATATCGCATACCAAAGCTGTTTACTCCGTCCGCGCCCACGAGAATATCACCGATGGCGGTAGTACCGTCGTCGAAATGAAGTCGGATTTCGTCTTGAACTTGCTCCACTCGTGCAAGTCTCTTCCCCCATTGAATTGGGATATGAGTAGAGAGCCAATTCCTGAAGCGAGGCCTGTTGGCCCTTATAATCGGCTTCTCGGGAGTAGAATTTACGCCAACGTGCTTTCCGTCGGAGTAAAAAGAAATTTGCGCCTCAAGCTTCAATGGGGCTAAGTGAGTTATACTCTCCTTCATCGGCGGTAAATCTACCCCAATATGAAATGTTAGTAAATTCCAGCCCTACAGTCTCAGATGCCGGATACCGGAGTCGACGGAAGCGTAACCTCGTAGCATTGCGTATAGGTTCTTGATACCCAAGGATGTAGAATGGTAAGAATTTATGTACTTACCGTCGGGGAATGATGAAACCAAGTCATTGACGACTCTGATATTTTTGTTAGTACCTATATATAGCTCAAACTAGTCTCATAACAATCCATTCAAGACGCTATATGAGCACATTTTGGGTTTATGTTTGTTTATAGACAGCTTATAATAGAAGAGGAATGAATAACTCACGAATGTACGCCAATGGCCCATCCCAAGAATCGAGAGTTTGCATCTGTGTCTCGCTCGAAAATCTCGAATGGAATGCCCTGCTTTCGCAAGCACTGGGCTAGTGTAAGTCCGCCGAGGCCGGCACCGACGATCAGTATACGGGGTTTTATAGTTTTAATAGCCATTGTTTAGATCTGCCGAGTCAGTTAAGTGGTGTTGAACCGCCTCATATAAAGCTGATGAAGTAATAAGATTTTTAAGACAATTTATGCCATTGTGACCGACTATTACATCTTATATAGGCATTATCCAGAAGCGTCTGCATCAATCATTTTACTCGCATCGGTTCAGCAGCATCACGCGAGCCGACCAGAACCACAGCCTATGAGTAATAAACTCTTCAACCAACACAAGGCGAAACGCGAGACCGAGTACCCTGGGTTCTGTGCAGTCCGCCATAGTGGAAACTCCTTTACAACCTGTATACATGACTTTTGACATATCCCTGCCGGGTGTGTCTCTTACTGGGAGTACTATGCCAACCTACATAGAGCAAATCTCTTTGCGTACCTATGTATATTGTTGGTTGAATGAATTATCAGCCATTCATAGTTCCACATTGGCGCATATTCAGCACCAGGTAAACGAAAGATTGGTTGAATTCATCATCCTATAGTATCTCTTTACCTCCACTCGCAATACCATAATACCACAATGCTTACTTAAGGTAATTACCCTCTTGAGGCTCATCGGCGTCGGGTCGATTTGAGAGGGCGCGATATTCTCCGTATCAAAAGCCGACCGGCCTATAGTGTGAGTTAACCCATGGGGCCACGGGGCCTTCGGAATTACGCATCAACTCAGGGGTAAGGACTAAGTCCGAAAATTAGTGCATTGTCCCCTCCCAAATTTATTCACGAAGCCGGAATAGGGGGATCCGATATGCATTTTTACTCGCCGAATGCATATTTTAGGACATTTACGTCTTCTCCTAACTAATACCTACAGTGATATCTGGGACTAACTATCCAGGATGTCTTCTGAAGATTTGTAAGCGTGTCTAGAGGTCGTAGCCACATATAATGAAAGAGTGGAGTCAATTCTTAAGAGTACGACGTTAATGAATAGCCTATGACAACCAACGTCTTCATGACCCCTGGGTCGCGTCGCGGATAGAGAACCAATGGAAAGGTCCGGCGGGACACGGAGGGGTTTCTGACTACAAGACTCCCCCGTCCGGTATTACGGACCTCCTAGGTCGGTCTCATAGACCCTTACCTCGGCATCATTCATGCCCTCCCTTTATAACTTTCCCGGGTGGATCTCTCCGGTGGATTAACCACATCTGTCTCGGAGTCCTTCCTGTCATTACGATATCGTTATTTCCCTCTGTCAGGTATTATTCCATCGCAGCGTGATAATAAATTCTGGAGGCATTGTAAATGATAAAGTTTAGAGGTTGTTCGTAATGACACTTTCACGTTCGCTTCCTACTTCCGGGGACGAATTCATGAGTGCTTATAAGATTTTGGAGTGGGAGTTGGAGCCATAACGCCCCGGAGCATTACCTGTTTAACATGATACTATCCGGGCCTATGGTCCTTGAGACAATACCGCGCCGGAACCCGAAATTTGGCTAGGACTACTACAGGGACTTGGTAGTTCATAACCCGATTATAACAGTAGCTCATTAATGATGCGTTCTGCTCCCTTATAGAATACAGTATTCCTCGACGAACAGCAAGCCACTTGGCTTGGCACATCTGACACAGTGCATCCGGTCATTTTATACCCTATGTCTCTACGGTATGCCGCCCACCAATTGACGCGCCCGCCGCATTTCAGCACCAGGAACAGCGCGGCTCAGCTATTTGATTTTTATCGTCAGCTCGGAATAAAACCTCAACTAAGATAGAGCCCTCCATCCTCTCAGCTCTAAGCTATATTTTACCGTAACAATCATTGCGGTAAATTACGACAGCTCATGTGCAAACTAGTATCGTCCAAATAAGCTACCTAAAGCTCAGCTAAGATGTGGCTAATAAACACCCGGACTCATCAGCTAGAGTTCGTCAATGAGCCAGAAGAATACACATATGCAATACTGTCACACGTCTGGGAGGATGAGGAGGTATCTTTCCAAGATTTTCAAACTCCCGGGAAGGCAAACAAGAAGAAAGGCTTGGATAAGATAATACGCACATGTCAACTTGCTGCTAGTCGCGACTTGCGATATGCTTGGGTTGATACCTGCTGCATCGACAAGTCTAGCAGTGCCGACTTGTCAGAAGCAATCAACTCCATGTTTAAATTGTATATGAATTCCGCTGTTTGCTTCGTGTTCCTCTCTGACCTCCCATCCGAGTCTTCATTTGAGGATCACTTCCTACGTTGCAAATGGTTAACTCGGGGCTGGACACTTCAAGAGATAGTTGCCCCTAGAGCCGCGGAATTTTACGATGCCAAGTGGGAATTCAGGGGTCGTAAACCTGAATTAAACACCTTCCTCGCTAGCGTTACCAAAATCGACTATGCGGTCTTGTGTGATAGTCAAGCCATGTTTGAAGTTCCCGTGGCAAGACGCATGTCCTGGGCATCAATGAGGGAGACAACTAGGGTTGAAGATAAGGCTTATTGCCTGCTGGGAATATTTGGCGTTAGCATGCCAATGTTATATGGTGAAGGTCCTAAGGCTTTCATGCGACTACAGGAGGAGATCGCAAAAGAGAGCAGCGACTTGTCCTTATTTGCGTGGACAGCCCTACCGCCGAGTTTAATCCCGGAAGGACTGATTCAGCAGAGCTACCGAGGGATCTTTGCCAGGTCTCCTAAGGAATTTGCTCACGCTCACCACTTAAAGCCATGGGTCAAAGATGCTATCATTGACACAGAGCTTGCTATAACGAATAGGGGTCTTCGGATCGAGACTGCCCTCATTAGTGTTCCTGGTACCACCGATGATCTCGTCTTGAACTTGGGCGTTTCTGAAAGGGATGACTGGCCTACAAATAGAGCTGATGGATGGGTAGGCGTGTATCTAGCCAAGACTGCCAATGGCTATGTCCGCTCAAAGCCGCATTCTCTCTTCAGAGCGGAACCTCAAATGAGACGGTATCGCGGTGATTCTCTCGTCTACATCCGCAAAGACCTTCGCACTTCCGAGTCAGAAAGGGTCGAAAATCGATTTCGAGGAGCCATCTGCGCCAACTTTTCAAAGGCTCCTTGTAAGATTCTCGGGGCTGTTCCTCAACAACTCTGGGACAATAACAGGAATCTCTTTCTCAGTCAAGGGCAAGGAATAAATGCGTATATCTTGCTACGATATGGTGAAGCGGAGAATTATGGTTGGAGTACCCAGTTCATTGTTGCGTTCTCTACGATGGACGAGCCCCTGTGTTATATAATTTCTGACCAACACCCACTCTTCAAGCGAGTACACCGGTTTATGGATACGACGAGAGAAATAAGCTACTACGTCTCCGCGGACTATCTCAGAATGCAATTTCTATCTGGGAGGGTGTCAGGCCATTCCTCGCCCGCTTTTTGTAGTATCAGACGACCACAGTCGAATTCAGTAATCAACTTCCAAGCTGAAATAAAACCACACATTTTCCAAAATCAGGCATGTTTCAGCTTAGAGCTAATCTTAGAGCAGGCCATTCTTGATAGTCCCGTTAATACACGAGGTATTAGCAGTATGAATCTGTGTTAGAGATCGTTCGGGATGTATTACTAACTGTCAGGCTTTATCACTGACGGGCGTCATACATGGAATAAAAGTCAGAGTAGATGGAATTGAACTATTAGCCTCTGCCTCCTATCCTCTTACGAGGGTGCAGCGCGCCTCTTATATACCCAGTCTTAGTAGATCTACCCCTGAATCTACCCCTGAATCTACACCTGAAAGTACAAATATCTAATATATGGCATTATGGAATATCGAAGTAGCGTTTACAAGAGATATTTTCATTAAATTTAACTTTAAATTCATCATGATATTCCGAAATTAATTGAATTAGGAAAAGGAGGTGCAGCGGGGGGAGTGAGTGTATAGGTCACGTGATTGTTTACCAGGTGTTACTCTCGCGAGTCTTTGTATAAATGTCTCAGCTTAGTTTTATGAAATAGACACTATTATCGAAATCTTCTTCCTATATTTAATTTTTACAGTTTTATAGAATAGAACCTATTCTTTCGTGAGAAAGCAGTTAAGCCTCTCTACTATAGCTTTTCTGTAGAAATCTTCACGCTTTATTCGAATAACTAACACAAACCTCACTATTGAGACCTGTGTCAGGGTATAGTGGGTCAGGGTGACTACAGGGGTCTGTCTACGACTATATAAGAGGCGCGAAGCGCCCTCGTCAGAGGTTAGAAGGCCAGGCGTTGCTAAGTTCAATACAATCTACTACTTGGTCTACCTACCCTAGACATTCACTTTGTGCATGGTTCACCTCAAAAAGGCATCTAATCCTGACAACCTGGAACCCCTCCTTTTCTTCAACCATGGACGAAACTCAGTCACCACCAACCATTGTGCCCCAAACATTAACTTCCACTCTTAAACCAATCCCTCAAACCAACTCGCCATTCTTAACGGCACTGGCCCCGGAGATTCGTATTATGATTTACGAATACGTCTTCGGGTGCGGGGATCTTCACATCTTCATCTATGAGCAAAAGCTAGTCAGCATGCTTTGTCGGAACCCGACAGAAATAGGTATAGATGGCCATGAGAGCTGTATTAGTATGCCGATGTCTCGGAGTACCGGGATAAGTTGGAATCCAGATACGATTAAAGAACGATTATCTACTCCTACTACCCGCCATGTTAGTGCCCTATTGGCCGTTTGCTGCACTATGTATGACTTTCTAAGCCTCGTTGATACTTGCGAAATACTAATGATAGACAGATATCTGGAATCAGTCGATATTCTATATAAGAGATACGTCCTTCATTTTAGCAACTTATTTTCAATCTCTGTCTTTCCGCGGGCCATAATTCCCCACCATCTCGACATGTTACACCATGTTAGATTATCCCTGGCCCTCTTCAATCGCAGTAGCATGATACACGTATACTTTAATAATTCCTTCAGCAGAAGCTGGCCAGGCTGGGATGAAAGAAGTCTCTCCGGGGATACGCCATGGCACTGCGCTTGGAACGCTATCGGCGAGTTGAAGTCATTGCACACTTTACTTGTGACGCTTGAAGTGTTGCGTGAGGACCACCAGCGCGAGGAACCACACTGGCATCGGTCGATGCCTTCAGACTTTGAGACTTCGCTTTTCGATCCAATGAAGCAGGTTGTTTGCAGCGACTTTTTACTCCGGGTTAACTGGCCATCTACAGGAAAACCCCTGGACGAATATCCGTTTAGAATAGAGCGCTTCACAGATATGGAAACCTAGAAGGAGCCGTTTTACCTCAATAGTGAATTGTTAAATAGAATACAAGTCATACATTATCTACGGGTACCCAAGAGATAGTAGGGTGTGAATGGGAGTAATAATCCGGAGAAAGGGATTCAGATGAAAAGGGTTAAAAATCAGACTTAATCGAAGGGGATTCAATGATCTTTGTACTTGATATTAAATGATTTCACCATCACAATGGGCGTTCATACTAGAAGGGCATTCATGGGGATAAAGATAGTAGAATTCAGCTAATAGACCAAAGCATATAGCTCGTAGCCAACTAAAAATGCTTTCGGCTTCCTGCGCCTCTAGCTCCTGAGCTTATAAATGAATAGCCAACTAACAAAAGGAAAAGTAGCAACGCCCTGAGCCATCTAGGATAGATGAATCCTGAGGGCCATATTAATGGCGGCTAAGGTAATGGTGAGGATAATATTTTCCGCGCTGGCGGTGCCCAACCCCTTTCCTCTTATTAGGAGATCCCGTATGTGGATCTAGCACCGAATTAGGGCCGTAGATATCTGCCAGGTTAAAACCAGTTTCCTCGATAATATTTATTCACCGGGTTATCTTTAGTGCAGCCAGGGGCTTGGCTGTTACTGGCCGCTTGGTACTGGCTTGTAGACTGGTTTCCGTTGGAGGGGGTGTAGCCATTTGCTTGATACGCGACCCCGTTTGACGTATATCCAGTTGCAACTGATACTCGCAATGGCTGTCCTCCCGGCGTCGGCATCTCTACCACTCTGTATCCAGCTTGTGGAGGTTGCTGATAATTCGGTTCGGGGGCGAATGAAACTGGTTGAGTCGGAATGGCCGGCCGCGTGGGCGGGATATTCGGGTTCATATAGCTTCCATGCTGATTTCCATGCTGATTTGCGTACTGGGTCCCATACTGGTTTCCATACTGGTTTCCTCGCTGATCTCCGTACGGGTCTCTTCGCTGGGCTCCATACTGGTCTGCGTGCTTAGTTCCATGATGGCTTCTTTGAGGGCTTACATCGGAACTTCCGATAGTGCTACTATAGTAACTTCCGGAAGGGCTACTACCGCGGCTTCCACGATGACTCTCACGACGGCCACTGCTCTCAGGAGAACGACCACGGAGTTCCGACGAGTCCGAGTCCACATCACGACGGCGAATATAAACAGTTCCTCGGTCCGACTTTTTACGCTCCATGTACAAACCATTCCATGAGTCGCCCTTGGAGGACTTGGATTTCTTACCGCTTTTGCCGTGGGAAGCTAGATATTTTCCGTTAATTCAACTATTTAAACCTTGCAGCTGGTATAGGTAATAGAACTTACACATATTTGTTGATTGGGTATGGCGTCAAATCGTAAACTCGAGCCAGGTTAGGTAGTAGAAGTCTGATGGAGAAAACACCAGATCGAAGAGAGCCGCAGCATCGTTATAAAGACCGAAGAGTCCGTCGGTGGTACCAACTGCTATGTTACATAGGATCACAATTTGAAGCATTGAATGTGTTGTGTAGCTCATGATTCACTCCTAATCTTATGGTGTTTCCTTTCTCAGGGGCGTGCCTCATTAACATGGAGACGCAAACCAGTAAATATAAACATCACATTTGAGCAACTCTGACCAATGCCGTGACATACATGATATTAAGAGAAACACGAAATTGTCTTCCCGAACCCGCTGTTTTGGGAACTCGATTTGTACGTCAGTATTTCGAGTCAGAGGTTTCCCAAACAGGTAGATGCATATGGGTAGCTATCAAAATTAAATAAGGTAGATTATCGAGATTAAATAAGTGAGGATTTGTGAGTTTAGCTTTTAATATTCAATGGCATTAAAATAAGCGCCTATATTACAACCTCACCCACAATTACGGCTGTCGTGCTCATAGCAACTACAAGTCGATAGCATAGCCAGTGATGCCCCTGGGAATCTTTACAGAAACAGGGCCTCACAGGTAACTCTTAGATTCCTAGGTCGTGACGCGAAAGATGGCTGTTTTTCTTTTCGATCCAACACACCTTGCTCGCTAATACAAACTTATCTCACTCAAAGCACTACACCGTAAAATTTATAAAATGAGATTAATAATAACAATAATAATTTAACTATAAATTGATAAAAAATCAACGCATACAGCGCGTAGCTACATAAAGATATTTCCTACTTCATATGCCTCGAACTCCTGGGTTAGGGTATAAACAACTGTCCATACTCACCAAGTAAAAAGTAACGAACACCTGAAATCTACACGATAGTCAAATGTTGAGTAACATACTAGTGGCGGCGATGATGGTGCCTCTTGTGATGTTTCTTCTCGTGATGATGATTCTCGTGGTGAAGGTGTTGCCTGCCATATGGATCCGGTTGGCTCCAACCAAATCCCCAACCATTAAGATCACTTGGGCACCCTTCCGGATATTCCTCTTCTTCAGGTCCTTGGGCCATTGTTTCTGGATCCACGACTTGATCTTGACCAGTTGCTTGGTTATTGTAGTAAACATTCGCTTGATCCTGACCGGTTGCTTGGTTAGTGTAGTAAACATTTGCTTGGTCCTGGGCCGCTGCTTGATTGGGGTCTACTGGCTGGTTGTAACCTGCGAATGGGTTTTGGCTGGGAGGGTAGTAGTTACCCGCTTGAGGCGCGACTCCGTCCGCTGTGTACCCGGTCCCTACTGATACGCGGACTGCTCTACCACCGGACACTGGTTGGACGACGGTCTGATATCCAGACCGGTCAGTAAAACTGGCTTGGTCGTTCATTGGTGCAGGCGGCTCCTCGACTGGTTGCTCTTCGGGTATAGTTTCAGGTATAATTGGATCATTCGCTCCTCTAGAGTCTCCATGGTGGCTTCGGTGGTGGCTTCTATGATCGCCTCCATGGTGACGACTATGAGAATGTCCGTGGGAGTGGCCATGGTGATGGCTGTGGGATCCTGAGTCCTCACCATGATCGTAGACAACGTAAGCATTGCTACGGTCCGATGCGTGACGTTCCATATACATGTTAGACCAGTCGTCGTCCTGAGAAGACCTCCTGGGCTTCTTGGACTTCTTACTGTCGTGTCTATGGGACGCTATGTAGTAACCGTTAGCACGGAATCTTTATATGTTCTAGAATAATCGTATTAAAACTTACACATTGTTGGTAATGGGATATGCTGTTAGGTCGTAAGTAACTTGAGATTAAGTTGGTAGGTACGGATTCGAGGAAGAACCCGAAATATCGAGATGGACCATAGTGTTCATATAGACGTTGGAGAGCCAGCCAAGAAGAGAACGGACCGTTAAGTTACATATGACCATGGTCCAAGGCATCAAATGTGTCATGTATCTATTCAGAGCTTACGACCTTGTGTTTCTCCCTGTCGTACAATATTGACCTAAGGCCACAAACGTAGACCAGACGATTTGAATCTCATAGTTGGATGCTTCACAGAGAATGACCAATGTCGCGTCATTCTCGGCAATCCAAGGGAAACACATTCAAAGCCAACATTTTCCGACCACGGCTAAGGAGATGAGCTGTTTAGCAACATTTTCCCAAGTGAATGTAAGCCGAGATCTTTCCTATTTTACTGTATTTGTGATCCAGGGCATGTGTTGGTACTTTACAGATGATACAATTGGAGATGCTGTGCCCAGGGGTTTGTTTACAGGTCAAGCATGACGTCGCCTGACGAAGAATATGTGTGCATATGCCCTCACTCCATTCATGCCTCACATTTAACAGCACAGAAGAGCTTCGCAGTCTTCCATTGAACAATTTTATGTAGAAGTGAATTGGACATGATTATTGGTACTCAATATTACACTTAAGAGTGATCGTAAGAGAGCAAATATCACAATAAAATTGCCAGCATGGTTTACCAGTACCCGGTTGAAAAGCGTCTAAAAGAATTATGGAAACTGTTGCCTCTTCAAACAACAAAAAGAAAGGGGTTTGATAGTTTTACCATGTAATCAGGGAGGAAATTATAATAAAATCGATCATCTCTCTCTTAATTTCACTAAAGTTATTTTATGTTAAAAATTATTAAAGGGGAAACTATTTCTTTGCCAGATATAGAGCTAAATAGTAGTCGTAGCGACGTATATCATTTGAGGTGCCTAGCTACGTTCACATGTCAAATTTATCAGCGTCTCGCGAGATCTTTGGAAAGAATATGGCTACCTCTTAAGGTAAGAATTATTTAGCAAGTCCATGTAAAGAAGGCATCCCTCCCCCTATCCTTAGAAGGGGGATTGGTTGAAAATGCTGCTATTACACCCATATACTAGAAGCCAGATCCTAATATCTCAATCTGTAGATCTGTGGTTTATGGCATTGTATTCTGGATAATAGGGGCTCACTTCGATCGCGTAAGTAGATTCTATATAATTCATCAGTAATAGGCATGATATTCCCATGGATTGAACTTATTACATCTATTCTAACAATGATACATAATTCTGAGTACCATATATCCATGCCGTAACACCAGGCTGGAAAACACTCCTGCTAAAGTTATTAATCAGACCGGTAGCGATTCGGCCCTTGCGGTGTTTAATTTTGCTCTGTAGAGACCTACATGTCGAAGGGCGCGCCAAGTGTTAAAATCGTAAAAATACGGGAGACGGTCATAATGCCCCGATATTACAATCCGGTCTCAGATACAATCAAATCAACTCTTCGATGTGCAGGTTTCGGTATCTGGATTGGATTCCAATACTACTCCCAGCGGGTTGGCAGACGTATTCTTGCAGGATGGGGTTCAAAGAGACTATATTCGACTCCACCGCTAATACGACGTCCGGGAATGTATAGCCGGCATTCCCCATATCTAAGGACCGCATCGGGATCCGAGGTCGGCGTGGGGTCCATCTGGGCACATGGAATAACCGAATTATTGTTACCTTATTAGCAAACTTCGCGAAGGCGTAATAATTAACATAGCTAGAATAAAGAAGGTCTACTACCCTGCGCCTTCGAAAATGTAGACAGAGACTACAGGTTCAGAAGTCAAGAGAAAATTATTCACCAATAATCCAAATATGTCGCCACTCATCCACCTAAATCCTTCGGCGCAGGAGTGGGTATATGACCCCGTCGGGGCGCAGGGCGGGAGCCAGGAGGGAACGATCCTTGCATTCCACAAGACTTTGCCGGATTACAATGAGACGCGATTACACTCTCTGCCGGACCTAGCAGCAGAGCTAGGACTCGGGGATGTGTTATTGAAAGACGAATCCAACCGCTTCGGTCTACCGGCATTCAAGATCCTAGGCGCATCCTGGGCCGTATACCGTGCCGTTGGATCGCATCTAGGGCTATCGGTGTCGGACGGGAGCGTACCCCTCGCAGACGTGGGCGCCAAGGCCCGAGAGGCAGGGGTCCGGATCGTGACGCTCACGGAAGGGAACTGCGGCCGGGCTGTGTCGCGGATAGCCGCGAAAATCATGGGGATTCCAACGAAGGTTTTCGTGCCCAAGTATATGGATGAACGGACCCGGGACAAGATTCGGAGTGAAGGCGCTGAAGTTATCGAGGTGGACGGGAGCTACGATGATGTGATACCCGTGGCGCAGAAAGAGGCCGAAGCTAGCGATAAAGCGATTTTAATTATAGATGTTAGTGTGGAAGGGTTCGACGTTATCCCGGGGTATTTCGTCCAGGGATATAGCACGATGCTGGCGGAATCCGATCGTCAGGTCCTAGAGTTGACGGGCGGGAAGCCGGCTACCCATGCGATCGTCCCTGTCGGCGCCGGATCTATAGGAGAGGCCGTCACAGCACACTTCAAGAGCGCCTCTTGGCGGAAGGAATTTGGCTCGACAAAGGTTCTCTCCGTAGAGCCTACAACCGCAGCGTGTCTTCTGGAGTCGCTAAAAGCGGGCAAGAGCGTTGCGGTGCCGACAGAAGATACTATCATGTGCGGGATGAACTGCGGAACGCTATCTACCACTGCATGGCCAGTACTGAGAGATGGCGTAGATGCGAGCATCGTGGTGACGGATTTGGAGGCGCATAACGCGGTGCGGGAACTCCAAGCCCGTAGTATACTTGCCGGACCTTGTGGTGCTGCCACTCTAGCTGCGCTTAGAAGAGCGTGTGCGGATGTAAAGCAGGAGCTGGGGCTTAGTGACACTTCGATCGTGGTGTTATATTGCACCGAAGGGGTGAGGGAGTATCCAGTACCGTCATCATGAAAAAGGGGAATGGGGAGTGAATTGGTTTTCATTTTTTTCATTTAGTCTGATACATGCATGTACGAGCTTCCATCTGATGGCTCGTGACTTTTGTACATATATGTACATGTGTAGTTGGGAGTTGACCTTCGGAATACTACATAACCGATGTCCCTAAATATGAGCAGTCTTAACTAGACTTGTTGCTTCAAGACAGACTTCTGTCTGCCTGCCTGGCTCTTCTCCCCGCTTATATACTCATACAAGCTCCTCCATGGTTACTTCACCTTACTTCCTCGGGTAATAGTAATAGGTAGGCTTCATGTGGCCGTGAAAATATCGTCGCTACTCTCTCGCCACCCTTAAAAACCCATACTATAGAGGAAGTTGAAAACTTGCAACTTCACATGACCCTAGTGATGCTTATTAGTATGAAGAGATGAATACCTCTAGGTAGCTTTGAAGAATATAAACCTACCCTTATGACAATGTGCCCAGTAATGCTATTGAAAGCTATTTCATTATCTTTGAGCTGCAGTGCCTCCTGGAGGTCTCTTTTCAAAGCCATTAAATCTCCTTCTCCATTCTTCACCAGCGTGACCTTCAGATTTCCACCACGCTTATTCCTATGATACACGCCAAGATTATTGAGGTTATTCCTGGCGACGAAGTACGGCAATTTCCCTGGTTTCTTTGGTGCTGCTTGTTCTGCTTGTTCTGTTTGCTCTGTTTGCGTAGTGGAGGAGACGGGGTCCTTGAGTTCGGGACGAATAGGTTCGGAGGGGATTGACGGTTCGCCGGACGAGGTCGAAGCTGATACTGAGAGGAATTGTGTGCGTATAGGCAAGTTTAACCGTTTTAGAGGTGCTGATAATAGTGCCGAGGGGGCCGCGAGCCGCCGTAAAGCTCTGTGTAATAGCATGGTTGTAGTTGGGATGGGTAAATTAATTGTATAGAAGATTAAAGCCGACTGAGACAGTCGTGAATCGTAAAAAGCACTTCAACTTTTTTAGTGATATCAGATATCAGACCACGGACAGTGCGGGGAAAGAAAATACTGTACGTATCAGAAAGCTTAAAAGCGCCGGTTAAATATCGGAGAGCACATGCTGATCGAAGCTTGGAGCAAAGTACATATTAGTACATATTACCCCCATATTTAACTTGCATAACTGCATAATTACATAGATCGTATCGATAAGAATGAGGTGTCCCACAATCCACTTTTTCCGAATTATTCGTTTTCGTTGTTGTAAGTAGCCCTCGTCAAACCAAGCCACATGCGGCCTGAGGAATAACTCGCTGCCCCTCCAAACAATTACATTGGTGATAATTTTTAACCAACTTTATCGGCCTCAATATTTTGGAGTCAACCTTCCGCCGTAAACATCCCGATATACAATATTACGCAGTCAATATGGCCGAATACGATCTTTTACCCAAGTTGATCGGTCACCTTGACCGTCACCTTGTATTCCCCCTCCTCGAATTCGCAGCCGGCCAACTCCCCGAGGACGCCGATGATGCCGCGGTCCTTGCTATTACAAAAGCCAAATATGAACTTCTTAAGACGACAAATATGACCGATTTCGTCGGAAACCTTAAGGCAGAACTCGATGGTCTAGATCAACCACCTGCAGAGTTTAACGACAAGCGACAAAAAGTTATCTCGCGTCTAGAACAGTTCGAGGAGAGCACCAGCAAGCTCGTCGATTTACTAGGCCGCGAAGATGTTGTCGGAAACTTGCGTAGCGACAAGGTGGCTAACCTGGAGTTCCTAAAAAAGGACCATGATGTATGCATAACCAAACCCCCTTTACTTATTTCTATAGTTACAGTTCTGATTTCTATTAGGTCACCATCGAAATGGTTAACGCGCTCTACGACTTTGGCAACTTCCAGTACAGCTGCGGTAACTATGCCGCCGCTGCTGATCTTTTATACCAGTTCCGTGTGCTTTCTACGGATAATGATAAGGTGGCTGCCGCGACGTGGGGAAAGCTCGCATCTGAGATTCTCACCACAAATTGGGAGGGTAGCGTGGAGGAACTGAACAAGGTTAAGGAGAACATTGACACCAAGTTGTTCAACAACCCCTTGGCCCAATTGAGTCAACGTACCTGGCTTATCCACTGGGCCTTGTTTCCTCTCTTCAACGACGATCGCACTCGCGACACAATTCTAGATCTGTTCTTCAGCCCCGCTTATATCAACACCATCCAGACCAGCTGTCCCTGGATCCTTCGTTACCTCACTGCTGCCGTTATTACAGGTCGCAGCCGAGCTCGGAACTCCGGTCAGTACCAGAAGCAGCTCAAAGATATTATACGCATCGTTAAGCAGGAGGCGTACGAGTACAGCGACCCTGTGACCGACTTTGTGCGAGCGCTCTACATTGACTTCGACTTCGAGGAAGCGCAACGGCAGCTTTCCCTCGCTGAGGAGATCTTGCGTTCTGACTTCTTCCTATTCTCCACCGCCGATGCCTTTGTTGACTCTGCGCGACACCTTATCTCTGAGAGCTACTGCAAGATCCATGCTCGCATCGATATCAAGGACCTAAGCGCACGTCTAGGTCTCGGTGAGGACGAGGGTGAGAAGTGGATCGTGAATCTTATCCGTGATACCAGAGTTGATGCGAAGATTGATTATAAGGAGGGCACAGTCGTTATGAACCACCCCCCGAGCTCTGTTTACCAGCAAGTCATCGAACGCACCAAGGGAGGTTTCTTCCGTACACAGGTGCTCAGCGCAGCCGTCGCAAGATAGGAGCCGAGTGATGGTGAGACATGTGACGATTAACAATGGATACCCATTAAATTAGACATGATAATGCGCGCCGGTGGATCAAAAGCAAGAGAGCAAAAGATTCATGGGACTTATATCGACGGCATGCATCAACGGCGTTTTTGGGGTTTCTGGTACAGCCAAGTGTACTTGGCGGTAAATCTGTAAGGTAGCATGGATTTACAAAAAGAACAAATTCTTTTATTTTATCTCTTCGCCGGCTCGTCTTACCAAATGTGCTTAAAACACCCCACGTCTTCAGCGTATGAGATGAAAGTATTATGTGTAAATTGGGGTTATTTACAATTTTATTTTGGTTGCTGTTGATTAGATCTATGCACTATGTTTCCCTTTGGTAGCAATGGGATAAGACGTCATTTGTTGTATGACAGCCAATAACTCCTTCCGTTTTACCGGAGGTACACTTCCTTCCCAAACGGATCTTAGTTGATCTATCATATCTTGGGTCTTTCCTCCCAAAATGACAGTTCTTGTTGCTAGGCGACACCCGCCATCTAACTAGCGACAAGGTAAAAAAGACAGTTACAGGCAGTTGCGAGGCAGCTGCTAGGTATTAAGGTAGGCACAAACAAGGTATCAAGGGAAAGAACGAGGCACCAGGTAAGATATATAAACAGAGGCAATCCCGTCGTTCTCGAGGTAAACCAACAACATACATCTTCAATAACACTTCTACAATATTAGGTACCGAATTTGTGTAACGAAGGCGCGGGGCACACGAAATAGTACATGCATGCATGTATATAATACCTATACAGTATTATAGGCATCTACGCGTCTATTCATAAGCATTTACGCGTCTATATTTCACCTGTCTTCCCCCCTCCACTTCTTTTAACCTTCCCCTTATTTTCCGTTTGCCTACTACTTCTCTCTCACATACTCTCAACATTCTGATTATGATGGAGGAGAAAAAAGAGGAAAAGCCTCAGATAATGGATAAGGAGACTATACCGTCTCTTCCAGAAGACTACCTTGAAAGAGTCTATGCCGGTGTCCTTGGCAAGCTGATCGGGGTATACATGGGTCGTCCATTCGAGGGATGGACACATCAGCGTATCATCGCCGAGCTGGGACATGTCCGGTACTATGTCAACGGAAAGCTAAATCTCCCCATAGTCGTCGCGGACGACGACATCTCCGGCACCTTTACATTCGTAAGGGCTATAGAGGAACATTATAATTGTGACAATAACCCTCAAGAGAACGACGATGAGGAGAACGACGATGAGGAGAATGACGATCAGGAAAAAGACGATCAGGAAAAAGATGATCAGGAAAACAACGACGAGAACGGGGACAAGATGGAAATCACAGAAGCCTTAGAGACATCGGGAACCTCTGAAGATTCTAAATCCTCTAGCACGCTAGATGCCACAAAAGAGGATCCTATTACCGCAGAACAGATCGGAAAGACGTGGCTCAATAACGTGATCAAAGACCGCACAGTCTTCTGGTGGGGTGGCAACGGCGTATCGACTGAGCATACGGCTTTCTTAAACTTACGAAAGGGAATCAAGGCACCTCACAGCGGCTCAATACAGACAAATGGCAGTACTATCGCCCAGCAGATTGGCGCTCAAATCTTTATTGATGGATTTGCCATGACGGCACCGGGAGACCCAGCTTTAGCCGCTCAGCTCGCAGGAGCAGCAGGCTCGGTGAGCCACGATGGAGAAGCCGTATACGCAGCGCAGCTCTGGGCTGTTATGGAAGCTGAGGCGTTTTTTTCTAATGATGTGAATCATCTATTAGATACCGGACTCGGCTTCATACCCTCAGACTCGCTTATAGCCGCATTAGTTGAAGACGTGCGTGGATGGTGCGAGGACGACGACGATTGGATGTACACGCGACAAAGAATTGAGAAAAAATACGGGTACGACAAGTTTCCAGGATTCTGCCACGTGGTACCTAATCACGGCATCATGATCATGTCGTTAATATACGGAGGGCATAACTTCGCTGAAGCCATGCATATTGTGAATACTTGCGGTTGGGATACCGATTGTAATTCGGGAAACGTTGGGTGTTTGGTGGCTATCATGCACGGGCTAGTGGCGTTTGATTATGAAGAAAATAATAAAAGAAAAAAATACGACTGGCGAGGGCCAATAGCTGATCGTGCTCTGATCTCGAGCGCAGACGGCGGGTACTCGATCAATAACGCCTCGAATATCGCTTACGACATTGTAAACATGGGCCGGAAGCTCGCAGGAGAAGAAACTCTCGCACCCCCGAAACGAGGCGCGCAGTTTCACTTCAGCTTACCGGGGAGCGTCCAGGGGTTCTATGTTCTTCATGATGACGGAAACGGGCCGGGGGGAGACATTTCGCACATCATCAGTAAGGATAAAAGCTCCAGCTTAAGAATTGCCATTCGTCAGACGAAAGAGGTAGTAATTCTGACAGATACTTTCACACCGCCTGATGATCGCCAGGTGAGTATCTACGACCTGACCGCCTCGCCACTAGTATATCCCGGACAAGTTCTCAAAGTGTCACTAAGAGCACATCCTGATCAGCGTAATGGTATAGCGGCAAAGCTAATTATACGCTTTTATACGCACAAGGACAACCTCGAGTACTATTCTGGCAATTACATAAATTTCAAGCAGAACGACCATCACGTCTTGCAATTGAGAGTTCCGGTGCAGTTAGGCTACCAACCAGTTCAGAGTGTAGGCATAGCTATTAAACCAGTCAGGGTAACGAGCGACAGTCCTGAAGTCATATATATGGACTATCTCCGGTGGGACGGCACTCCAGCTCTTGTCCTTGAACCGGGTGACGACCGAGTTGGGCCCCGGTCCTTCTACAAGCGGTCCTTTGTCAATGGCGCTGATGTGTTCGACATTTCTAGCAGTACGTTCATAGTAGCCCAGGATCAAGGCGAAGGTATCGTCAGCTACGGTACGCGAGACTGGACAAATTACAGGGCTATATTCAGGGACTTCACTGTCAACATGAGCGGGCCGGCTGGTGTTGCTGTGCGGGTACGAGGGCTGAATAGATACTACGCGCTGTTCTTCTATAAAAGCAGTGCTGATATTAGCGGTTCCAAGGACCGCATCGCGCTGGTCAAAGCTCTCGACAACGAGCGTATTGAACTAGCCAGCGCAGACTTCGACTGGAAGTACGATCTGCCATATAATGTGATTTTCAAAGTGTCAGGCGATTTGCTGCATGCCCGAATCGGCAAAACCGAACTCTCGGCACGTGACGCGCAGTACCCCGGCGGCGGAATAGGAATGGTAGTGACCGACGGATCGATACTAACACGGAGCATTAAGATCGGTCCCCTGATATAGCCAGCTAGGGAAATGGGGGAAGAGGGTATAGGTTCAGGGCCTGCCTTAAGACAAAGATGTGGTCGTGTTAGGCGTCTGATGTGTGGAATAGGAGAAATCGACAAGGATTTTTACCATGAAGCAAACGTGGAAAAGAGGAAGGTCTATCAGATGTATCAATAATTAGTATGAGAAAAAGAGGTATCTGGCAAGTCAAATCAAAGGGATCAGAATATTGACTCAACCGCACACAAATCTTGGCTTGGAACATAAGGTAGATCAGGTAGTCGTTTCGATCTTAGCCTCATCGCATTACGTGTGATTATCCCGAAAATGCCTACATCGGAAACATCAAGATCTGGGATCTATATGGTCAGGCCATAAGCCAGTAGTTGGTTAGTGTATTACGACTGCTCAGATAGACCAGCTCGTACGATCGTACGCATATGTATTGTACTTGACATGCTCTCTCTTTCTCCCCCCTCCCCCCTTTCCCCCTCTTTGTTCTTCATCCCTCAACACCAACTCAACAATATGCATTAGCATTTCCCGCGTATAGTCGAGATCTAAACTGCGACCACGGACGCGACGCCCATCTCGACATGAACGATGCCTACACCTCCCCTGCAAATAAACAACCATAGCATGACAACAAAAAGGGGGAGGGGTTCTCATTCCTGTTCTTGCGCCGTCCAGAAAAAACATGATGATGATGATGAATGACTATGACTTTCCCTCCCCGTATCCGTAGAGCTCCGTTTTCTCATTATAAGTTAAAAAGTCTATACCAGAAATTCATCGGCCCGTCCGTCCGGTACCAAGTCGAAGAGGATGGGATGGGGTAGATATTATACAGCGACGTTGGCCGACACGGGAGGCGTGGTATTACTTAACTGTCTCGCAGTGTCTCGCCTCCCGTTGAGAATTGCACTGGCTCGAAGTGGCCAAGCTGTCGGTGCCAAGAACATCGCCGCGAAACCCACAGAAAGCATTGCGCTCTCGTCTACGAGTTAGCAGCATCGCGGTTGCTCTGGGAGCTGGCGCTCATTGTAGGTTGCACAGTGGGCAGCGAGTTCTTGGCCAGCTGCGACTGTCGCACCTTGGCCCAAGCATACACAATACCACTAATAAACCCGATCAAGATGGCCGAAACACTGCCTACGGTGACAGGTGCGGAGAAGAAGATAAGACCACTGATGGCGAGCGGGAGCTTGTTGAGAGCTCCAACCATGGAGTAGGTGGTGGAGGACGTAACTCGGATGCACCACGCAGAGCAGTACGAGATGAAAATAGCAGCCATACCCGAGTAGATCATGCCAATCAAAATAGCATTTCGGGATTCGGGGGGGAAGTTCTTGGCCAAATTCTCGCTGGACCAATCCTCGGTGATAAGCGAGCAGACGATTAGGACGGGGATAGTGAGGAAGTTGTTATAGAACATGCCTATTTTAAGTTAGAATATTTCATAAACAAACTGCTAGCAGCGCAATAAATAAAACTTACTATCCCAGTCCTTGAAGTTCATGTTCTTGATAACCTTACGCATGCTAAGCAGATAGGAAGCAGTGCAGAAAACATTCAGACCCATCCAAGCGTATCCAGCGTTTAGGGACGCAAGAGCCTCGGCAGCTTCGGCAGTTTGACTAGCACTGCGAGTGTCCGCCCAAGCCGCGATAACGGAGCTCATAACCATCAGACCGAATGAAAGGAGTGCCAGAGGCGTGACACTACCTCCGAACCATAGAACCTCGCCATATGCGATAACAATAGTGGTCAAATTCTTGAAGATGGTGTAGACGGGAACAGACAGGAGCTGTAGCGACTTTGTGCTCGTATAGATCATGCCGACGAGGAGAAGAGAGACGGGGAACCCTGCGGCTAGGTTAGCATATATACATATATAGAGATAGATAGATAGATAAACAGGGGTCTCAAGGCAACGAAGAAAATAAAACACGTACATCGCTTTCCCTTGTTTACGTCGAAAGGCGCGAGGGTCTTGATTAAACCCAATTGCTTGCAGACCTCGATGGTTACTATACACACAATGGACTAGAGTTCAAGAGTTAGCAAATTGCAGGTCTTATATATCGTGAGTGTAGTCGTATAGTACCTGGACCGCAAGATAGAAGAAGTTCAAGTTCCATTCGGAGCCGGACACGACGTATTTGTTGACGACGGTCATACTAATCGAGGACAGACAATAGGCAAGAATGGAGATAGTCGGGTTATTCTCTATCTTGGCGATCTGGGTAGAAAGCGGCGGCTGGGAGGCGATGCGCGCAGGGCGGGACGGGATGAAGGGATCCTTCTCTCCGCCGTCATAAGGGCTTCGCAAACCCGAGTCGGGCATGCGAATAATATAGTCTTCGTTCTTCTTGTCGGACATGATTGCGACGTTATGTAGGTTAACTAGCTAGCTGTATTGGCCTTTTGAAAACCCGAACGTATAGGGGGGGGAAGGGAAGTTAGGTTCTGTTTCCAGTCTGGCGGTGTTCGAACTTCGAGGGTTAGGGGCGAGGAGGAAGACCGGAGGAGGACTGTGTTGTGTATGTTGAACTAAAATAAAATAAGGGGAAAAGAAAAAGAGTTGGCTATCTGTCAAACGGCGCTGCGCCCGGAAACTGTGGAGCCCGATTAACGCGTACCTAGATTGCGACGAAAGTTTAGGTTAGGTACTTTTGTAGATTCGAAGGGTCCGCAGAAAACAAATCGAAACTGGGAAAGAGCTATGTACCTATGTATATATGTCGGTAGCGGATTTTCTTATAGGGTGAATCAAAAGTTCCAAGACAAAAGATTAGGTGCTAAACTGGAACATAAAAACAAATTCTTCAGCGGAGGTTTCTTGCGGACGCGTGCCAGATGATTTTTATTATTCTAATCAAGGGTAATTTACCGCGTGCAGGCGGACTGACCTCAAGATAAAATGCAGGACTAGACAGGTACATATATCAAGTGTGGCGTCCAAGGTGAGGCTTGTCACGCTATACAATCTTAGTTTTGTCTTGGCGTTATAAATTTAGAATCATCAATGTTCCTGCAAAAACGCCAATCAGGGTTCTCTCATTAAAATGTTAAGCCTCGAGTGATACATATCGCTGCTTTTATGCATTTACCTGTCAAAATTATCGTATGCTTCAGTTCATTACCTCTCTCTCATTTATTAGACAATGGAACTCAAATTAACAAACAAAATATTATATGCAGTGATAGGTATCCTCAAACAACTTTTATAATTTAGTACCTAGCAATATAGTAACACGCCCATGCCAAATAGTGTGTTTGAGCTTTTCTAGCCCGTGATATTCTCTCAGCGACAACGTAAAATGTCCACGTAACCCCTAATCCTATTCCAGCCCAAGACTAGGTACCTACTAAGTAGCAGGATCCTGCATCTCAACATTCGAATCCCCCGTATCGTCATCCTTCTCGTTCTTCTCCGCCGAAGCAGAAGCCGAAGCAGAAGCAGAAGCGGCCTCGGCCTCGGGCGCCGCCGGATAGTTAAGATGCTTCCAGTCCTCGAGCTCCTCCGTGACGGACCTAAGGCGGTCCCGGATGCTCTCGATGGCGTAGCTACCGAGCACGAGGCGCAGGGGCGGGTACGAACAATGCGCTAGCTGCCATACTAACTCGGCGCACTTGACCGCGCTCGTCGGCTGCCGGTCCCCGAGCCATTGTACCATACGCTTTGCGTGTAGCGCCGGCGACGACGAGTGCCCGTATGCTTCGCTCGGCTGCTTGATCAGGAAGTGGCCCCATGTCGGCAGTGGGTTCATCTCAGAATCTGGCTCGTCGCGCCGTACCAGTCCCGGCTCTACTAGTGTCGCCTTTATGTTGAACGCGTCGATCTCATAGAGCATCGCTTCGATCAGGCCTTCTACCGCGTACTTGGTCGCGCAGTAGGGGCCTAGTCCAGGTACACCCAGGGCTCCGCTCGTAGAGCTGAAGATGAGATAGCGCCCGCCGTTCTGCTGGCGGAAGTAAGGAAGAGTGGCCTGGATGATGTGTAGAGTGCCCATGAAGTTAGTCTCGAACTGGTTCCGAATCTCATGCTCGTCCTGATCCTCGCACGCCCCTATGACGCCGTATCCCGAGCAGTTGGCCACCACGTCGATGCGACCGAAATGGTCCAGCGTCCGCTCAACGACTTGCGCTACGCTCTGGCGCGCGCGCACGTCGCATAACAGGCCAAGACAATTCTCATGCTGCCCCGACATCTCCTCAGGCGAGCTCTCAAATGTGCGCCCTACATCCGTCACCAAATCGCCCCGCGCCAGCGCACATTTGACCAGGGAGCGGCCCATATGGCCAGTACCGCCAAAGACCTAGTTAATTAGAAATTCATTTAGTCCCCATTCCTGTAGACATACCGCTCTTAATTAGCGATACGAATTTATTTATAACTTACAATCCATACGAGCTGCTTCCTCGGCGCGTTCGGCAGCGGAGGCTCGCAGCTAGCGGGGAGTAACAATTTCCCCTTGGGCGTGCTAGCGGAGGTGCTGCCCGCCGGCGAGGGGTGGGCGACTTCGGATGCGGATCTAGAGTCCATGATGGGTTGACTGCGGTTTGAGGAGTAAGCTCATCATTTCGCGGGTCCTATTCGTCTGATCCGACGCGCACGGCATCATCTAACGGGGCCTTTTTTTTTTGGGAGAAAGAGAAGTTGGGGGGTTCCAGCTGGGGTATAACTACCTATTTAATAATAATAATAATAATAATCCCCGCAATGTCATTGCCGAGACTATTGAACTACATACATACGTAAAGCTTGTGCTATTTTGAGAATTTCATAAAAATAGTTCCTTGTGATACTCCATCCCCAAGATAATATGAGAGTATATCGCAATATTTTAGAAAATTTCCAAGTTTTTTTTTAATACGAGATTCTCAGATCAGAACTCATTTTTTTTTTAAATTCGTGATAACTATCGTTAAAGGGATCTTCTATCGACAAAAGAACCGGCACGCCCAAGACTCGAGTATTGCTACTGCCACATCCGCTCGATCACCCGTAGAACGCGTAACTTCGTAACCCTTTGCATCACCATCACCTAACCTAGTTCAGGTACTGGGAGACGTACTCCTTGCGGAACTGGTTCTCATCTAGCTCGCCGGACCTGTTCAGCGGCGTCCACTTGGGTTCGTCCTTGAAAAGGCGCATGGCTTGGATGTACTAAGAAAATATTAGATATCCTTATATATGTGCGTGTGTGTGGACGGAAGAATATACATACGTTATTCTCATCAGTGGTGAACCTGTGGTAGATACCCGGAGGCAGGATGATCAAGTCGTCCTTCTCAAGCTGAATGCGCACCCACTCGTCGCCCTTACTTCGCACATCGAAGTACCCCTGACCGTCGCGGATGTATCTAATCTCCTCATCTTCGTGCAGGTGCTCGTGGAAGAAGGACTTGACTTTCTCCTCATATATATCGCCCATCTTCTCAGGGGAAACTGTGATTTCGTCACGGTTCTTGTACCCGCGCTTGCTTGCCAGCTCGTCGACGGCCGACACCTGTGGGTACCGGAAGTATAGCACGCCCAACTTCTCCAAGGCTGCAACATCTACATCTTTACCCGAGTCGTGCGGCAGTCGCTGGTCGCCCTGTTGAGTTGTTAGTATCACGTAGTTGTGTTATAATATCCTAAGTTCGCAGCAGTTTGTCGAACTAACGCGAGTGAGCGCTTTCGCGAAAACATCCCGCGATGATGTGATGAGGGGCACTTTTTATTTTATTTAATCACTTACAGGAGCGTTATCGTACAAGTATGCTCTCATTTTCAACAGAGTTTAAATCCTCAATGAGAAGTTGAATAAGAAGTAGGTATATCTGATTTACGTAAACGTAAACTGAAGAAAGGGATAGAAGACTTGAGATGGTGGTTCGTTATTAAATATTTTTTTGGGTGACTGTCTTCCGTATATGTATAAGCCCCCCAATTCGTAATTAGCAGCGATGGCGCCAGCAGCTGAGTTGCAGGTGGGAGGGTCAGAGGGTGTGACGTCGGACAACCGGGCATTTCTCTTTTTTTTCTTTTGGTGGGGTCCAAGGCTTTGTCCCGCCATTTCCAAAAGTTAGCTGCTTATTGGCTTACTTATTCGGCGTTCTATAAAGCAAGCTATTATATGTATAATCTCCATATACCTATAGAATATGCATCAGTGGGCATAGTAGCATTAATAAGACATTATACTATATAGTTAAACCTACGAAGAGAACTCTTTGGTTTGGTAAAGACTCGTTGCATGATGCGATAGAACTAAGGGGCTAATAGACTCAAATATAATACGGCATAAAATGAATATATATTTAGAAACTCTGCTATAAATCGAAGCCAGCTCCTATGTCTTAAGCTTAAATAAACACAATAAATCTAGTTTATGGTTGAAAGGCATAAGAAACAGATGAGAGTTGATAGTTATTTTTTTATTATTCCATAAATTCGAACTCAGTAGTCTTTCTATTGAAAGCTGTTGTAGGTAGGCTAGGCTAACAAGTAATCCCGCACCTTAATAGACATGCAACTCAAGGAGTTGGTTGGATAGTATGTACAAAAGGCATCGCCTGTATTGTTGCTATGTTTTGTCCCGTATTGACCTTCAACGCCTCTTATCGTCCCGTATATAACGCCACTGTAACCGAATGCCATTGGAATCTGACCTAAAACGCTATGAATGAGTGAATGATAGCCGCCTAACACTATCTGAATCCAGTTGTGTCGTTCATGCTTATCGCAAGTCAGCTGCAGCAAGTTCTGGACCTCCTGCCACTGCAAATTCGTTATTAATTGCATCAGCTGTCTCGTCTCTCTGCTGTCGGCCCTCAAAGAGTCGACGCCACCACGATGGCGGGTCAAGAGGCCGGGAACCGTTATGCATTGGGGGGTACACATCCGAGAAGAAATACCAGATATGGCCTATAACAACCCCCATGATCTCATCCTTAGGTACTGTCCCATGCATAACAAGGCTGAAACCCATCAACACCCAGGGTAGGTAGGGCGCTGTGAATACGAACAAGCCTAATAAGCTCAGCTGAGTATCTGGGTTTCGTCGGGACCAGATATAGACCAGGGTTGACGATAGCGGGTGGCCGAGGAATGGCATCGACACAAATGGAGACAGGACGATAAGGAAGGCCATGGTGTATACCATCAACCAAGAGAAATGAGCCGGCGACCGACCGGAAGACTCTTCAAGCAGTCGGGAGTAGCGCTGGAGGAAGTATACGTGGAAAAGGAGATCGAACGAGAAAGGTCCGAAGTATAGGAATGTAGTCAACAATCGCCAATACTATAGGTTGGATAAGTTAGCAAGCCGACAACCACCTTAGTTCTCTTTGTCGGGATACATGGAATTCTTACCTCTCCCTTCTGAAATACGGTGCGAACGCTATAGAACAGTTGAAACGGAGTGACCATTTGGCATTGAACCAGAGCGCTCGTCAGAACTGTTGCGGTCGTCCACCACCGCGTGCATATGGGCATCTCCCAAAACCAGGCCTCAAGTGGGTTTCGGCCCCCATCACCAGGAATCATCTGATCCATATCGAATTGCGACCGTCGGTTGTGTAGGAAACGCGGACAGCAAGTTTAGTTGGGCTCTTTATCTCGAAAACGACGATATATCAATTGTATGCGGTAAAGATTACACAGGATGAACAGCAAGAGGAAAAAGAAGAAAGAATGTTTCAAAGGAAGTTTGATGTTGTAGGTATGTATTAGGTGTAAGGCGATGGCGGGATTGCCTCCTCAGCCCACTGCTAATCTGGCCTTATCGGAGGATTGATCTGTTCACTACCAACACAAGGGTACCTAGGTGAGGTACGTAATACACTAAAAATGCCACGGATTAGTACCTATGTACATAGTGATTTAAGGAGGTTACGGATCTTTATTTGCCGGTTAAATGAATTATATCACAACCTTGCATTTTTCCGTGAACCTAATGACGTGACTTACATAGGAGGTACCCAGGTACCCAAGGTAAACGATGTGGCTTGCTTGTGGCTAAAAACTTCTTCAGCCAATTTCGTGGAATTGTGAGGGCGCGCCAGGGGCACACTACAGGACCCACTAGTTTTAAGATTTGCAGGGGTTTTAATTGAAATGGCTGGGTAGCGCGTCGCGGGGCGTGCTCAAGTCGCGTCCCGTCGAGTTAGAGTGGGAAGTTGCGAATTGAATTTCCCAGCCACTTCGATTTTTGCCATTTCCGCACTCCCATATTATTCTTCACCAACCGGGTTCATGCTGCGTTCTTTCTTCCCTTTTTCTTTCATAGGAATACGCTACTTCTAATACCGTTTGTCGCTCAACGCAACAAACCTTGGTTCTCTTTGACAAGACGGCTTTCAATTAATAATACCTATTCTTCGATTATATTCCAATTTCTTTAAACCTCGATACCTCGACGCCAAATACCCATTGTGCGCTATACCAAGTCGCATAGTTGTCGCATTAGCACCGAAAGGCTTTCGCACCTCTTCGCATCAGCATACCGTACTTAGTGCTCTAAAAATGAATCGGGGTGGTCGCGGTGGAGGACGAGGAGGACGGGGTGGGGGCTCTGCGGCGACAAGAGTGCAGCGTAAGTCTATAAGCTAATCACAGCTTGAAGTTGCAATGGCTAATTGATCTATAGCTGGCGATCCAATTCCTTACCCTCGGAGAAGAAGATACAGGCCAGGAACGGTCGCGCTGAGGGAGATCCGAAGGCTGCAAAATAACACCGATCTGCTACTACGAAAACTACCTTTCTCTCGACTCGTATGTTCTCAATGGAGATGATAGCTCTAGGAGTAGCATATGCTAACTAATTTCCAGGTCCGAGAAATAGCTTTAACCATGCGCCCAGCAGACGAAGGCATGCGATGGCAATCGCAGGCAATATTAGCGCTCCAGGAAGCAGCCGAGGCTTTCCTCGTCCACCTATTCGAGGACTCGAATCTATGCGCCATCCACGCGAAACGAGTCACCATCATGCAGAAGGATATCCAGCTCGCGAGAAGAATACGTGGCGTATGGGGCGGCCTTGGCTAAAGGATCAGGGCAGCGAATGATGCCTATCGAAAATGATACAGCGGGTTTTTGCGCCCACGAAAGTCATCCCTGCATCGGTTAGGCCACTTGCCCGCAGAGGGAGACGTGTATAAAGAGCGGTCTGTTGACGGGGAGACGAGGCGATCAGATACCAGGGCGTTCAGCCGGTTGGGTCAGGGGGGAAGTGAACTGGCGTTTAGGAGTAGAGAGGTGACCAGCCCAAGCAGGAGGGGAAACGGTCAGGTTTTGCATTTTAAATTTGATACCACCACCATGCTTTTCTATAAGCCTGAATTCAGTCAGTCGGAATACAAAGCTCATAATTTGCGATATCGATGATTCCTCCAGACAAGGTTGAGGAGACGGAAGAATTAGATCGTCGTGCCCGCATGAGCTAAAACTTTCCGAAAGCTCCGTGAAATTTGGGGCCCACGTGGAGGGATTCTAGGGGGTTTTTAGCGGTGGAACCAGCAGCTAAGTATTGTACATATGCGGTGTTGTTGGCATAGCTGCATAACCGCAATAGAGTGACGTCAGTCAACAGCTAGAAAAAAGTAATCCGAAGCTCTTATTAATACAGACCACATTCGTCAATTCTACCTATTTAAACCGTACCTATTTTGAATCGAATAAATCTTAAAAGCTCGTAATTGGTTGATACGTGTATACATAGCTCTCGCCTCACGCTACTTACCTACCGAGATACCTATAACCACGCAGAGAAAAGAAACTCCCAATTCAAAATGTCGGCAAGATTGCTCACACGAACACGAACCTTCATGCCGCGCCATGCCCTCGGCGCCGGCATCGTCGGCCTCTCCCTCGGGACGAGTATGGCCACGTTTAGACAGCCGAAGCTGAGAATGGACGCGAGAGATACCCCGCGACCGATGAGCAGTCGTCCTACGAAAGAGAGGTTAGATCCCGACCTCCTGAAGCAGCTTTCTGGCGGGAGCATTACAGGTTAGTTGTGTTTGGGCATGCTCATATGTCTCTTTCAAAACTAAGAAAGGTTCCAGGGTTTATTTCGGGACTCCTTATTAGTGTTTTCTCGCGGACGTTAGTATTACTTATAGGTCTCACCGTGGTGGTCGTTCAGGTGCGTAGCATAGGAAATTCATCTTGAACATATTGGTTTTAACATTATCTAGGTCGCTTCGAGATATGGTCTTGACTTAGTACAACAGCTAAAGGTGAAGCAACGGTTAGGTAATTCACGCATATTAGCTGCTTTGGAGAAGAACCCAGCTTTTACTTTATCTTTCGGGCTATTCTTCGCAATGTCCGCTTTTATGCAATTCTAGCTGTTTATATACCGTGGGCATCTAGGTAGATAGCAACGGACAGATATAATCTGAGGGGAAATCAGCCTCTATTTCAGAAAGGTTGTGTTTCCCTCTTCAGCCACTCTGTGGTTAATTCGTCATTCTCGAAGTATCCCTTTGTCTTATTCCAGATGTCAGCGTTGTAGTCATTTAGCCATGCCTTCTCCTCGCTCGTCAGAAGATTAGGGTCGATGAGTTTGCGGCAGTACGGCACCATGGTAACATGCTCGAAGCCAAGGTATGGCTTATCGCCGAACTTGTGCTTCGTCTGCACTTCCTTGACCATGATGATGTTCTCGATCCGAATCCCGAATGAGCCGTCCTCGTAATAACCGGGCTCGTTGGAGATGACATTTCCAGCGGATAGAGCAACCTCTGAGTACTGCACTCTCGTACCGATACCGATTGGTCCTTCGTGCACATTCAGATACGAACCAACACCGTGGCCGGTACCATGACGATAGTCAAGCCCTTGGAGCTATATCACTGAATCAGCAAAATTGGTAGTTCACGGGGTGGAAATTTAAACATACCCATAGATGTTGGCGTGCGAGGACATCCAGTGCGAAGCCCGTTGTCCCCTTGGGAAATACAACCCTATCTAGGGCAATGTTTCCCTTCAACGTGAGCGTATAGGCTTCGATCTCAGCCTCGGTAGGATCGGAAAAGTGTAGCGTTCGAGTTGTGTCTGTAGTTCCATCTAGATACTGAGCCCCAGAATCACACAAGTAAACCGCATTGGGATCAATCATTGAACAGCTTCCAGGCTCCGGCTTGTAGTGAATGACGGCAGCACTAGAAGGGGGGTAGTTAGAATCGCTAGGTTATAGTACGGTCCCAGAAATACGTATACTCACTTTGGTCCTGTCGATGATATCGTGGGGAAAGAAAGTCCAACAAAGTCCTTCTGTTTCGCACGCAGAGCTTCAAGTTTATCCGCAGCTACAACTTCATCAATAGTCGCCTTCTTTGCTATAAGCTGGTCTTCCAGCCAAGCGAAGTACTCAATTAGAGCTGCACCATCTCTGATGTGGCATGCTCTCATTCCTTCCAACTCGGTTTCATTCTTTACAGCCTTGGAATCGCCAACGGGGCTTCGAATCTCATCTACCAGATCTTCGCCGCCAAGCGCCCGCTTCAAAGCCCACGATGCTCGGTTTGAGATAAGAATCTTCTTCTTAGCTTCTCCCGACTCCTTGATTTCGACTGATTGGCGAAGCACGGAGGCGTCGTTAAAGATATCTTCGTATGGCTTGATAGTAACGTCGTTCTCCGCAAGGTAGGATTGGCCCTCGCTACTTAGCTTGGACGAGTCGACATATAGCGTAGCCTCATCGACGGTCACGATAGCGTACGAGAAGAAGACCGGGTTATATGGAATGTCGTTTCCTCGAAGGTTGAAGAGCCAAGCAATTTCGTCGAGCATCGAGACGACGAATCCAATCGAATTTTTCTTCTCAAGCTCTTTTCGAAGTTCAGTAAGCTTCGTCTTGACATCCTTCCCGTTGAATTTCTCGCTTAGAACAATTATGGGTTCGTTGGGTCGAGAGGGTCGATCATCACCCCAAACTATATCAACCAAATTCACTTCAACCGGCTCCAGGTCCTTTCCTCCGCTCTTCTTGATCTTCTCCGAGAGCTTCTTGGCAGCGCCACTCGTCAATAAAGTCGGATCTACAGCTACAACTTTACCATCAGCAGCCTGTTCTGCAGACCATTCCTGCCACGTTGGAACATCCTGGAGACCTTGTTTTAACAGGTGCCAGTTGTCGTCAAGCTGCTTAGATGCCTGGTTAAAGTATCGACCATCCGTAGCTAAGGCAGCTTTCTCGTGAGTAATGACAGCGCAGCCTGCAGACCCAGTGAATCCGGAGATGAATGCACGACGAGCATCACACGGGGCAATATACTCGGAAGAGTGGCTATCCTCGGACGGGACGACTTAAGAAAATCGTCAGTCGCCAAAACCCAAGGAAATTAAGAACATGATGCATTGGCTAGCCTACTATACACGTCAACTTTTTTCTCGCTCATAAGCTTGCGGAGCTCGGTAAGGCGAGCGGTTGTGTCGACCTTTTCCATCTCGATAGCTGTAGCAGTGCTATGAAACCGATATATTGGGCGTAGAGTAGCTGTCGGCGAAGCCCCAAGGTTCCACAGTCGATATCCGAGTCTAGGTATCTTAACGATAGATGAAAGAGTAGTCCTCGGGGGCATATACAATGCGCAAGAAGACAGAGAAATTATTATCGGCATCAACTGCAACGATATATTGCCGAACACTAACTGCCGCAACCCAGCAGGCTCTAACCTAGGAAATCAACTATAAGATACTGCAAGCCCAGGCGTAAATGGCCCTGATAAATCCGAGGAACTCTAGTCGTATTATTGGGGGGTCGCATCCATTTGAATTCGGTATTTAGTAAATACTTCCCAGTCGATGTATTTTATTGAACAGTAGATCTCGGGGGGTTGAAGTTGCTAAGGTTAGAGAAGTTGGATCTTGAGGTGACTTAAAAAAGGTGGGATGGGAGTTGGAACTCTGGTGGGCTGTAAGAGGTACCTAATGTACTCCCGAAGTGGGTATTCCCCATCGGTACTTCGGGGTTAAACAATTAATTCTGCAGGATATGCAGAATATGGGTGGACTTTGGAGAATAATATGATATTTTAGGAGTACCACACCCTTCACAATTTAGGGTCTATACCGGCATGTGCAAAGTAGGTACCTACCCGTCCTTACGCCACGGTACAAACACCCCACTATCAAAATTGGGCACTAAACCCTTGCTGCCTTGTACCTTATGTATACCGTAGTAGGTAAGTTTGCCGGTACGTTCTAGGTTTGCGGGATGACGTTTTAAAGCAAAGCGGATAGCGAATTCCAATCGCTCATTCCGTCTATCCCAATTCTTGGCTCCTGTTACACTTGGAGATGCCTAATAGTGAATTGGAATTGGTCGATAGCCTCTTTACTTTACCTTGTACGAGTATCTATCTAATGTAGAGAATAGGTACGTCGTTAATCTGTCAAATTGTTACATCCCTAGTGATTTTGATTTTTTACAGGGGACTCTCGATTAACGCCTATTTCAGCCTCGTCTCTTTAACTTAACAAGCATCTTGCACTCTCGCGCACGGATGAACTACCTACCTCCTTCAGATTCCATACTCATCAAAACTTGCAACCCGTTAGTTTCCCGATATGGATGAGGCATCTCACGAAAACCAAAACGACCATGGAAAACATATCGATTGAAAATATTACTCTACCTGAAGTCGAGCATGTGAGTTAATATATTCTCTAAATCTTTCCACTAATAGAACCCAGAGACTCATTCCAGTGAGCCTATTTGGATTTCTTGAGCTATAACGTTAACACTCTTCATAGTTGGTTCATGAGCTGTATAAGCCGAACCCTCCTCAAACTATCTCCCGTATCCAGGAAATCCTCCAGACCCTCCAAAAATCTCCTGGTGGCTGGCAACTTGCAGATGGCCTACTAAGTCGACCGGATCAGAATGTCAAGTTTTTCGGTGCTTTAACATTCACCGTGAAATTAAACACCGAAAGGTAATTCTCTGATAGGCTGTCTGAAACTTATGTTGCTCACTCGTAGATAGTTTATCGGATGAGGATGCCGTATCTGTTCTTCAGAAACTCATCAGCTTCCTCATCACCTCCCTAAGAGATGGAACGGCGGGTTTCGTCGTTAAAAAACTTTGCAGTACTCTAGTCACCTACTTTATCCACTACTCGCATACCTGGCCAAGATGCATACGCCATCTTTCATATTGCCTAGATAGCCGTATCTATGTACCTATCGAAGATACTGATGGTGCTTCTCCCTATGAAGATATAGTCCAGTCGTTGGACGTTGAAAACTTATATGCGGTGTCATGGTTTGCACAGATCTTGCCTAGCGAGGCAGAGAAGATTGACACCAAGCCTGTCAAGTATATCCCCCTTCACGAGCGGCTGGCGAATAATGCCGCTGACGTTGTGGTGCTCCTGGTTCATGGCATTAAACCTGTCAGCGACAGCAATACCCGTCCAGCGGATTCGATAAGTTGCCTGCAAGCATGGCTTCAATATGTCCAACGGAGTTCCAAACAGCCGTTAATCCAGCAGTTTCGGAAACTAGTTGGCCCTGTTATCAACTGTCTCCCGCATGCCGAGCTGTATGACGCCGCCGTCGGGCTTCTTACTGATGCTTTAGAAGACTGGCCGTTATTCTTTGTTGGAGATCATATCGAATCCCTATACGCGGTTTTTGAAAGTGACTGGGCCCGGGATAGATATCGTAGCCTAATTGAGAGTGAGGAGATGGATGACGACGACGTTCATTTTGGCCTTTTTATGTTGTCCTTCGGCAATGCCCAGGCGAAGGATCTGGCAGATGGGGCCAACGAAAGAGCCCAACGGTTCCTTGCTATGCTAGCCGGCTTGTTGAGCGCAAAGGGGTACCCTGGGGTGGACGATAAGATATTCGTTCCAGCTCTCGAATTCTGGGGGACCTTCGTTGAAATCTTGGTGGAGACCGTATACGAAGACTCAACTGGAGAGAGGCGATGGGATAAGCCACCGGTATTGCAAATAATGCAGGCCGTTTCAGAGAGCTCGCGCAAGATACAGTACCCTCACATCACCATTTATAATTCTTGGGACTCCACGGAAAGAGTCGCATTTGGAGATGCACGAAAAGACGTTGCCGATTTTCTGCAGTCCGTATATACGATAATTGGTAAAGAGTTGGTCTCCATGTTTGCGAAAAACATGTTGGAAGCCTTGCCAAGATCAGCCTGGGCAGAGCTTGAAGCTGCTGCCTTTTGCTTGGGCTCCCTATCCGATTGTCTGCCGGACGAAAGTTCATTCGACGACATATTAACTCAAATATTCGGCTCGTCGCTATTTGATTTGTTATGCCAGGGACAGAGTGTAGTACCCGTCCGGGCGAGACAGACGTGTCTCGCCCTCATAGAACGTTACTCGGAATACTTTGGCCATCACGCAGAGTTCTTACCCGCTGCTTTAAATTTACTCTTTAGCGCGGTAGGCGATAGACATCTCGCGCTGCCTTCGTCGAAATCGATCTACACACTCTGCTCATCCTGTCGATCAATTTTAACCCCTGAAGTTGATACTTTCCTCGAACAATACGGAACGCTACGCAGTAGTGAACTTGACTCATTAGCCGAAGAGAGGGTTGTCGGTGCCATTGCATCGATTATACAGGCAGTCCCCGAGGATACGCGGAAGTTGAACGCCTTTAAGAGGTTACTCACCATGGTAGGTGTAGATGTCGAGGCCAGTTTGCAACTGTCATCTTATGGCGAAGGATCTCTCTTGCCTCCTGACAATCCGGTAAGTCTTGCTTTGTTGGCAACGAGGGTACTGTGCCTCAGTCGGTGATGGCTGGTTTCTAATGTAGTATAGGTGATAATACGAGCCTATGACTTTGCACAGCGCCCGGACGCACCCGTTTCGGCCTCTGAAGTATCATTGAATCTAGCCACTCGAGCTCTTCGCTGCCTTTGTAGCATCGCCAAGGGAATTCAGGCACCCTCTGAAGCCCTCGTAGATCTGGAGGCCGACGACGAAGGTACCCAAGTGTCATCTAACTCTGACTTGCAACAGATACAAGTCGATATCATGGTAAGTATGTTCTGCATCATTTTGAAAGAGGTGGCTGATAATGGTTTCAGAACATCCTCGCTCGGCTTAAGGAGACATTTTCGAGTAATAGCGAAGTTATCGACGTTATCTGTAGCATCCTTCGCGCCGGCTTCTCAGAAACCGAGCCCGGGCCGTTCGTATTTCCTCCACAGATGGTCACCGAGTTCATCACGAGTAGATGGGATAATCGTGTCGCTACAGTGGTTAATACAGCAAGTGTATTTGTCACGTCTCTTAACAGCGGAAACCAAAAGAGTTATGTAGCAGAGGCCCTCAGTCAACTCTTACCATGGGTTTTTAGCCTGCTAAACCAACTTTCGGGTGAGTCACCATTCCAGTATTCAAGGTGCTGATAGCTCCTTTGCGGGTCTTTGTTTAGCTGTCGAACGATACCTCACTTATGACATATCATTAACGCTATTGTAGAACCTGAGCAAGACCCCGAGCTGGCACAGTATGGTATTGAATTTGCCCAGAGGGTTATGTCGAAGCGCCCGGAGATACTCATGTCCCAACCCGCGAACATGCTCGAGTTCCTCTTCATGTTCGCCATCAAACTGCTAAATGGAAACGAGCCATTACCCAAAGCAGCCGCAGCAGACTTCTGGGTTAGTCACCGTTCGAAATTATTAGACAGTGGCAATGAAGCTAACTATACGGGGATCAGTCTACGTTTATTTCGCTTCGGACAACTGATGAAAATACTAGAGCTATTGTGGAAAACGCGATAACATATCTAGGCCCCAAGTTGTCCGAATCGCTCATACAGAACATCGGGGGCAAGGCAGCGAGAAGCGAGCTCGACAAGCTTAGCGAGCCACTCAAGAAGCTGGTAGCGCAGCAGGTCAATGCCCGCCAGTGGTTGGGGGTAGCCCTACAAGATCCGACCTTCCCTAGCGACAAGGTGTCACCAGAGGACAAGGAACTATTCCTCAAGAAAGTAATTATGTGAGTTTACCAATAATCGTTTACTAACATGTCGTAGTAAGACTGACATCCCGGCACAGGCTACGCGGTCAGCGAGCAACCAATGCTCTCGTTCGCACCTTTTGGCTGGCTTGTAGAGGATCTAACTTTGCGTATACATCGTGACGACTTACTCGGAATATCACTGTTAGCATTGTTCAGGCTAGCCGGCGTGAAGGTTATTACAGATTGGATAAGACCCAGTGTGCAATTCTACACCTAGGTACCTTAGGTACCTAAGGTTACAGCCGAAGAAAAAAAAATAATAATTGAATTCATCGTGCGTTAGCTTTGTTGATTGCGTAGTTCCGCCGTGGTAGTCCGTGGTGAAGTTGTGCATAGTAATACTACATACGGGTGTCGACTACGACGATGCCGCTTCTATCGTAACTAGATAACGAGTATAATATATATAGTATACGTTCCCGTCTTGTCCAATGTGCTTCCTTATTCTCACACACCAAGGCACCCTAGATAGGCGGCGGCCCCAGCCCCAAGCCAACCGCATCCCTCACCATCCTCATCGTCTCCTCCGCATTCCGCCTCGCCACCTCGGCGCCCTCCGCCTCCAGCTCATCAAGCCACTTACCCCCCTTCCGATTCAAAAACTCGCTATGCCGCTCCTTCATGCCGCGCAGCTCTCCACACACAGCCTCCGTCACGAGCTCCTTCAGCTCCTTGAGCGAGGCGCCCTCGAGCTGGCGCGCCAGCTCCTCGGGGGGCAGATGGCGGAGTTCTTCCTGGGAGCTGCTGCTGCTGCACTGCGATAGGAGCCGCAGGAGGTTGGAGACGCCGGGCCGGGATTCGGGGTCGTAGGTTACGGGGCCGAGGTTGTCGGTTACGGCGCTCTTGATGCGCGTGCGGATCTCGGCGGGGGGCGCGGTGATGGATATCCGGGAGCGCCAGTTGGGTGTTGATTTTGACATTTTGCATTCGGGGTTGGAGAGGGACATTATGCGGGGGTAGGGGCCTGGGGGGTGGTGGTGGTTGGTTAGTGGTGGATCTTTGATATATTTGTATATAAATATATATATAGGAAGGGGGAAGAAGGGTGGTAGTGGAGTGGGAGAAGAGGAACATACTAGTCATAGTCTCGGGCGGGACGAGGATTTTCTTGAACGTGTGGTTGAAATTCGTGGCACACTCGCGCGCGAACTCGAGGTGTTGCCGCTGGTCGTCGCCGACGGGGACGTGGGTTGCGCGGTGCACCAGGATATCGGCTGCTTGGAGCACGGGGTAGGAGAACAGGCCTAGCTTTAGATTCTTCATGGCTGCTTCGTCGAGATCGACTGCCTTGTTTTTAATCTGGAGTTTACTCTGTAACGTCGACATTAGATACTCGAATTCGGGATATGAGAAGGTAACCATTGATTGATTGATTGATAAAAAGAGTAAAGGGGTATATAACATAACAGAGGACCGACAAACCTTCCACTGCGTCATCCTCCCCAGATACCCCATCGACGCGGTGCAGCTGAGAATCCACATGAGCTCGGTATGCTGGGGCACGGAGCTCTGGAAGAATATCGTAGACCCTTTATCCGGGTCGAGACCGACGGCCAGTAGCGAGGCTAGCATCTCGCGGCGACGTAGACGTAGGCTACTGGCGTCTTGGGGCATGGTGATGGCGTGTAGGTCTACGACGGAGAAGAATAGTTTGTCCTCGGGCTCCGCGTCGTCCTGAAGCTTTTTCCATGGCTTTAATGCTCCTAGGTAGTTTCCTAGGTGTGGAACACCCGTGGGCTGGATGCCGGAGAAGATGACTCTGGGCTTGCGTTCGTTTGCTATCTCCCCTTGCTCATCGGTACTGTCATCGGTACTGACATCGGCCAGGAGATCGGTCAGGACATCGGGACTGACATCGGGACTGACATCGCTGGCAATAGTAGACTCGTTACGTCTTTGCTGTCTTGTTGCTGAGTACCTTATGGCCTGTCTTCGTATTAGACCAGCCAGGGGCCTGCAGCGGGTACAGAGTGTTTGGCGCATCTACTCGGACGCTTAAACACTTGAAAACTTATATGATGCCTCAATCTGTGAGTTTGGAGGCTATTCGCTTGCTTAAAAGAAATGACCTGTGTAATTAATCACTAATGAGTTATACGAAATATGAAAAATAAAATACGAAATAAAAATCTTACAAGTGCAATTGCTTATACCAACGACCTCAGCCCAATTATGAGAATAAGATCTTGAATCATTTATAACTATCCTTGTGTGTAAGTCGGATAACCAATTGAAAAGATTCTCGAATGAACGCATTTTGGACTAGTTAAACACAGTGAATACTGTGTATAGTCACACTGTACATAGCTCTCAATATTACAGACTACAGTTCACTTGTGAGGTAGTTATGTCATTTAAAAACACGCGAATAAGTTGTGAATAACTTCAAGAGTAACATAGTTATTTAATTGTATGTTGCAACAAGAGTATTAACTTCATTGTACAGATAAGATAGTATATATATATAGCATCTATCTCGTATGCTTGAACCTCTCGCTGGCCAGCAACTCCTTCACCTTTTCTACCGTGCCTAATGTCTTGTCTCTGCCAAAGCTCTCCATCTTCTGTTCTACTATCTCCTGTAGAGACTTCTCTTGTGCATCTGTCTTCTTACCAGTGCCTATATATATATATGTCCAAATTAGCCAATCGTAATCACAGCACTATGATGGGTTTGGCAATGCAATGCCCAACTTACCAATGCTGTCAAACTCCCAGACATTTGCCTTCATACCGATACCGTAGTATGCATGCTTCTGCAGGTAGGCTAGCCAGATCTGCACCGTCTCGGGATGCCCGTCCCTGATCTGTATCAATCTCCTCCTTGTGACCCTCTCGAAGTTCTCTTGCGACTTCTTGAAGATGAAATGACTCTTTGGTACCGTCCATCGCTCTATGATCTTAGGAAGAGGTACCGGGCCGAATGCCGGGAGGTTCAGGTAATATGCGGCTCGGAGCGCAAAGTCGCAGAAGAACTCGAGGTTAGGGATGCTGAAAGACCGCAGCTGTAGATCGCACGAGGGAACTCCATACTGTGCTTCTCGTCGCAGGGGCTGGAGGTAGAGGGCTTGGACGGCTCTGGGAAGTCGGACCTCGTTCTCTTCGCGGGGATCTGGTAACTCGTTTCTGGAAATCGTATAAGTCATTGCGCATCGTACGAAGGGTCCAACCCGTATACATACACGAGTTGAGGAGGACTGGACTTTGAATCGGTAGTGGGATCGGCACTGAGGACATAGTTAGTAAACTAGAAGTTATTGACCCGTTCGGACTGTAAGTCAAGCATTACACCGAGGCTTGCGTGCGGGCGCTCACGATACCTGCTAGGGTATTTCGTGATGGTTGGACCTTTGAGATGTTAATGTTAATTGGGTTGTTCCAGAACTCCATTGTCCGGGGAACATACCAATGGTCTAGACAAGGCCTGCCGTAGCGGCCTTATTATGGTAGATCTGGTCATGATGTGACAATTCTTCTCTCTTTCTCTCCCCCAGAGTTCAACTGCGCGATCTTGAAGATGAAAGAAGAAGTGGATCCTCGATGAGGCTCGAAATTTGAGGTGTTATCGATAAGTACTTTTACAACTTCAAAGATTCCTATGTACATACATAGAAATATGTGATATGTATTAGACGAATATATTCAATAAATAGCTCAATCTTTATCAAAGCTTCCCTTATCTTATCCCTTATCCTTTATCTTTAACCCCACGTTACTGCCTACATCCTACAATTCACGATTCCAACAACTTACATCGAATCTGGGAATCTGACTGTTAGAGAGCGAAATAGATCCAAGTAGTCAAGATGGAGGTGGCAATGAGATCGTGGGGTAATAATTCTCCCTGTTTCCCTTCTCCTATTCCTATAACTACCTAACTACCGAATGAAATACTAATAAACGACCCCGCGTAGAGCTCGATAACGACATCAAGCTCGTCGATCCCGTACGAGACGCCCTTTACAACTACTCCGACGACCGTCAAACCGAAGTAAATTCCGCAAAGCCCTGGAAAGATAACCCAAACCACTTCCAACATGTGCGCATCAGCGCCGTCGCCCTCATCAAGATGGTTATGCACGCCAGATCAGGCGGTTCTATCGAAGTCATGGGCTTGATGCAAGGCTATACAGACGGTGATACTATTGTTGTCACAGATGCTTTTGGCCTTCCAGTAGAGGGCACAGAGACGCGTGTTAATGCCCAAGATGACGCCAACGAGTACATGATCCAATACCTACAACTCTCCCGCGACCAAGGCAGCCGTCAAGAGAACGTTGTGGGTTGGTACCACAGTCACCCCGGATACGGCTGCTGGCTCAGCGGCATCGACGTCGGCACGCAAAGCATGCAGCAGAAATTCAACGATCCTTTCGTCGCGGTGGTCATTGACCCCGATCGTACCATCAGCGCAGGCCGCGTCGAGATTGGCGCGTTCCGCACATACCCCGACAACTACCAACCCTCCGAACCCTCTACCTCCTCATCCTCCGGCCAGGCCGTACCGCTATCCAAAGCCGAAGACTTCGGCGCCCACGCGAGCAAGTACTACAGCCTAGAAGTATCGCATTTCAAGTCAACGCTAGACTCGAGCCTGCTGGAGCTGCTGTGGAGCAAGTACTGGGTGCAGACGCTTTCGCAGAACCCGCTACTGACAAACCGCGACTACGGCGACAAGCAAATGCTAGACCTGGGCTCCAAGATACGCGAGGCCACCCTTTCGTGCCAGCGCAGCTATAGGGGAGGCCCGGGTGTAGGGAGCAAGGGACTCGACGCGGAGATGGAGAAGCTTGCCCGCACAAGCCACTCCGTCGCCATGAACGAGAAGCAAGGGCTTATGGCGATAGAAGTCAAGGCCAAGATTTTCAACGGGCTGGGAGATACTGCTGCTGCTGCTACCACTACAAATCCAGCTCCGGATACTACTATTACTATGGCATAGGAATAGAATTTTCATAGAGATATGACATGGCACGCGTTGTGTGGCCGCTGTTACGAGATATGAAGCATTGGACGGCGTTTTCGGCATCGGATGGGAAAGGGGGGCGTATTATAAAAAACTAAGAATAGTAATACAGAGTACAGGATGCTTTGTACCTGATATACACGAGTTTTCTTTTTCGTTCCATGACTTTGACTTGGTCGACTATTGTCTTTTTCTGCGTGGCCTGGACTTGTGGTCGATCAGTACCTAAGACATGCAGACCAGACTTGACTTGACCTAAACTTCCTACTCGACCTCTTTAAGCTCTTCGCTCTTAGCCACTTCATATGCCTCCTCCACTCTCCTCATAGTCTCCTCCTTGCCTAGCACGACTAGACTCGGTATCAACGACGGTCCGGGCCGCGACCCGGCGACGACCCAGCGCAGGAGATGGTATCCCCAGAGCTGCGGCTCTTGGTATCCAGAGCCAGGCTCGGAAGTCTTCGGCGTGGCGTATATAGACCTAAGGAACGGCAGGATAGCACCCTCGATCCCCGTCTTAGTCCACTCCGAACCCTCCAAAGCCTCTAGGATATCGCGCAGCGTGGCGGTGAGTCCCGAGACGGTCTGCGGGTAGCGGTCTTCGTCCTTCTGCCGTTCTTCTTCTTCCTCTTCTTCCTCTTCTTCCTCTTCTTCCTCATACTCCTCCTCCTCCTCGGCAGACACCCCCAGCTCCCTATCCGTGAAGAGTTGAGTTACGTTGGCCATCTCCTCTTGCAGACTAGAGCGGTACAGGGACTCGGGGACTTGCCAGATCAGGAACCGGTTGCGGGACACGTAGGTCTCGGCGTCTTTGTAGTTCTGCATGTCGAGCTGGAGGACCTGGTCTAGGTAAGATTTGGAGATGGTTCCGTTGGCGGTGGTGGTGTCGCTGGCGAGAGGGACCATGGGGCCGAGCTCGGATACGATTTTGCTGTTGACGCCTGGGGCCGGGGCTGCGGTTGGATCTTCGGGGTCTGTGTTGCGTGCGTCTTCGTATTTCTGCACGCGGGATGTGAGAGCCGGGAGGAGGATGTGGGAGACGTGAGATGGGCCGTGTGCTTGGGCGAGACGCTTTACGTGTGCCTTTTGGAGGTACTCGTGCTTGTTGTTGACTGTGATGTCGCCCTTGGTGAAGCCGAGATGGAACTATGCTTCTGAGTTAATATTATTTCGCCTTATCAAAGGTTTGGACTGAATGGGAGTTTAGCTCGACCGAACGACGCCGTGCCACTTACCCTCTCAACCATATCTTTCAGATCCATGACTTCTTGCTGCCCCTTTACTCCCCTTCCCATGCTCCAACCCAGCAGCATGACGTAGTTGAGTAGTGTGCTAGGTAAAATGCCACGGTCTCGCCAGGATGCGATGTCGACGTCTCCATGGCGCTTGCTTAGCTTTTGCCTCTCCTCGTTGACCAAGAGTCCGACGTGCGCGAACGAGGGCATCTGCCATCCGAAGGCCTCGTAGAGCGCTACGTGCCTGGGTGTAGATACTAGCCATTCCTTAAGTTCCTCTCAGTCAGCCACGATTATATATTGATATCAAAGAGTGACGCTAGAATGTTACTCACAGCGCCTCTAATAACGTGTGTAATCTCCATCAAATGGTCGTCGACCACGTTGGCGAAGTGGTAGGTTGGATATCCGTCCTGCTTAATGATGATGAAATCATCTTCCACGGTAGGCTTCTTGTAGTATCCGTAGACCAGGTCGTTGACGACAGGCTGCTGGCCGCATTTGAATCGTACACAATGCGGCTCACCGTTCTCCGCCCGGCGCGCGGATGCATCCGGAGAGATGTGCGTGCAGGTCCCGTTGTAGATGGGCTGATTGCCCTCTTGAATGCTTATGGATCTCATCTGATCCAAGTCCTCGGGCGTGCAGAAGCATCGGTAGGCGAGGCCTTCATTTATCAGCTGTTCCGCATGCTTGCGATACAGCTCTAGCCTCTCTGACTTTGAATAAGGTTAGTATCGCGATGATAAAGTGGTGAGCTATGATATGAATACCTGCTTATATGAGCCGTACTCCCCGCCAACATCGGGACCTATAAGAGATTATGGATGAGAATTTAGAGTAGGCTACTAGGTGAGTGCAAATCTCGCACCTTCGTCCCAACTCAACCCAGCCCATTTTAGATCTTCGAATAACCTCGTCTCGGCATCTTCTACGATTCGAGACTGGGATACGTTAGAACATAGACCCACCATTTAAATCTAGAAGCGACTCAAACTCACCTGGTCCGTGTCTTCAACCCTGAGTATGAATTGGCCGCCGGTGGCCTTCGCGAGCAAGTAGTTATACAATGCTGTCCTCAACGAGCCTATATGCACATATCCAGTTGGAGATGGCGCAAATCGCGTCCTAGCTGGCGTGTTAGGGAGAGAAGTCTTGGATTTTTCAGCTGGTTTGGTTCGGCCTGAGAATTTGTATCGTTTTAAAACTTGCGGTGGTCGAGCCAACAAGGGCCGGCATAGAGGACCACGTATGATATAGAGACCTCTCATGACCCGTCATGAACCAGTTCTCTTATTTTCTAGGTTTGTTAGAATAATGTTATTATGATTTTGACTTACACGCCAGTCATGTCATGTGCTTTGAATTGGATGCAAAAAGTTTCACTTCGATTAATGCATATATTATTACCCGACTCATGCTATCCGAATCCAGATCTTGATATGCATATATGCAACACTCGAGACTACAACGCAAGATTTCCATGAATCATACGGAACTCTCATTATTAATTTTTGAACAAGCACAGGTAATTATCCTTCGACTTATTTATTAGTTAAGTACCTTGTAGTAACTTAGTTATTCTATCTGAGACCATGCTTAGGCTTTGATGAAAGACTATCCACAGCTATTCTGTCTGTAATATTTCTCTGCGATCTCACATAGTTCGAAGGTAACCTAGGTTGGCTGGATTCTCTCGATTGAGAGAGTCTATGCGATTAGACACCTTTGGCGGAAACCGTGAACTTTGGTGTCTAACTGGATTTGCTTAATGTTAAACAAAAAGCCGATATTAACCAAAGTGTTGCATCGGCTGTCTATATAAGTTGTAGGACATCGTAGTAAATATTCCTTGCCAACGCCGGAACCTGTGTCAAGATTGGTGTTGTTGACAGACCAATATTAATAGTGAGATTATTATATTCTCGATGAGGGGGTTGAATAGAGAATAGGAGTGAACTGGTCGCGCCCAGGGTGTAGGATCGACGAGGGGGTTGAATAGAGAGTAGGAGTGGTCTACACGACTTGCGCCTACTTTAGAGGCTTCGACGCTTAGTCCTTCGTCTATCTTGCTGACCTGCGCCTCTAGAGAATCCCACGGGATTGCTTCCATGGGGTGGTTGGAGAACTTGTCTAGGATTGGATGGGGAGCGGGGACGCTATACGCCAGGAATGGCCTCATCCCATTCTCAGGCTGTATGACATCTTCAAGGGCTCTTCGCGAGTGCGACAAAGGCTTGATTTTATGCATAGCGGGGGATGGCGTGGTTGGATTGCTGGGCAGGTTTTGTATGACAAGCCAATCAACAATCCCCCATACTTATACTCAAAACGAAGTCCAGCTTAAGACTTAAGGCTCAAGGCTTAGGCTTAAGAGTATAAGATTTAGGGGTTACGAGCTATGAAAAAGATGTCAGTAACGGGATTCTTTATGAAGTAAAGACAAATTGGTACTGGTATTGGTATTGGAATCAAAGATAAAAACCAATAAGGAATCAGACCAAATTAAGATAACTTACTTAACAACGTCCTTCGTGTTCGTTGATTACCGGCCGGACACTTTTCTTTGACTCGTGATCTGAGTCTCCTCCGTCCTTGGTGTCCTTGGACGCCAAAACCACCCTAGTTGTCGGAGCTTAAGAGTCGACTACCAATTCAAGTGAACTCGTCCCAAAGATAGTCACGGAATCCACATAATGGGACGTCTTATGCTGTGGAAATACGGCTAGTCAGAATGTATTGGTCCATGCACACCAATATTTCGATGCTCCGAGTGGAAAGGGCAACTTACATTGAATAGGTTGCCCTAACTGCGAAGAGTGTTGTAGAAACAACTACCACGCACCCGTCCAGAGTAGATCCATAAGCAGTAGTTTGTGCCGCAATACTAATAAGCATTAGTCAATGCAGAATTGCCTAAGTTGATTTTCGGCTTACCTGTAGTCTTAAGTTTATGTAGTCTTAAGTTTATTTATTGTAAGGCTTGCGGAATAAGGCTTGTTCCGAGCAAGTAAATGTTTATTAATATTTATGTTAGTTATGCGGCTGCTTGATGGTGTTGGGAATCGGGATGTTGAGTTATAAGTTGAAGACGAAAGACAGAAACCGGCGGCGTGTTGGGGTCCGCTGTCGGGGAGATTCGAAGGGGATATTGGGGAGGATATTGGGGGGTTGGGTTCTGTTCCGTATCGCGTGTGGGAATTAGAATTAGGTGTTTTGCTTCTGATGAGCGTGAGGACTTGTTCGTTAAGATATAATTCCATTAGGGAACATATCTATGTTAAGGAAAAGTGTTAGCATCCTTCTCTTGCTGTGTAAACTGCTACAGATTAATACCTAAAATTGTATCCGTGGTATGGTAAGTGATATTGAGTTGATGGATGTTAAAAGGTTACTGTTCCATGTTGCTGGCTATAATATCGGTAAAGTTAGTACCTAACCTAGGACATATTCAAGGTGGGGGTAATGAGTCGGTCCGCCCTGATGTATAATAATATTTAGAAGAAGATATATCATACCTGGAGTAGTTGTAACATGACACCAGCCCTTCATGTGTTGTATGGGCACGACCATATCCCTAAGGAATCCTTTAAGCTTCTCTTGGCAAGCAGTTTCCACCGCGTTAATCTAAAGGACACGGCTTTTCAGTAAGTGTTCTGTCCAACTAACCATAGCGACTCCGGTAAGGTTGTCTTACGGCTTATTGGAATTGCTAAGATAAATTGAAGGTTAGTGCCATAAGCTCTTTTCATATACCAGGAACGGTAGGCTAAAAGAATAGAAGTGTAGGTGATGTGAAGATGAAATGGTGAGGAGTGTTTCCAAAGGATAGGATGTTGAGTTATCTGAGAGGGCCAGGCCAGAGGTGTTGTGCCGCGCCGCAAGATACTTGTGAAGTGAGAAGGCAAGGTGAAGAGGATAATACGCGACAGGTAGACAACAATATAAAAAGAGAATTGTAACATACCTTAAGGAATGATGTATAAGTTGAGTTAGGGAAGTTAGGTAGATTAGGTAGATTAGGTAATTGGGTCGAGGAGGAGACAGGGTGGGTATGATGCTCTTGGATTCTGAGCGTATTATAGGGGTAGGTATGTGTTAGGTAAGTCGCGGAGATAGAATCTAGGTATAGATTTAAAATTAGCCACCTTCTAGTCAAAGATATGTTTGGGAATCTAATGGAATTTGTAGGAATAGGAAAGAACGAAGGGACGCGCGCTTGGAAATAAAATAAAGTCCTGAGGTTGTCTTGCCCACCTAAGGCGGTGTATATCGCATTGCGGGGTAGTGGTATCAGAGCAACAACAATGGGAAGAAATGTGATGTGAATGATATGAAAAGAAAGTTGCGAAGTGATGGAGAGAGGTGATAATGTTCAGGGAGAGGTAGATAGAATGCGAAAAGTGTAGACATGAGTGCTAATATGAAGGGGAGAGGGTTGTATATCCAAAGGGGGACTTCACCAAAGCTTGGTAAAGAAGCACAACAAGGAAACCAAGATCGCGATGGTCTCTAACTTTGTGTAATGTGTGGAGATGTGATGCAGAGCAAAGGGGAATGATAAGAGAGTCTGAACATACCTCGTTGATATGTATTGTTGTTAAGTTAGCGAACCTCCCTTGTATTTGTCTTTGATCTAGGTTGACCTCCCGTTGAGAAAGGTAAAGATAATTAAAAGGAGTGTAAGGGAGGTTAGAATAGATATAGTCCTGACTTCGGATGAAGCTTGTGGTGATTAGGAGTTGTGATTAGGAGTTTAGGAGTTTAGGAATTAGAAGGAAGTTGGAAAAGAAATGTTGAAAGGTGGGAGAAGGGCACGTTCTTTTATACACTCGGAAGGATTGCTACGAGAAAATTCGTTAGCCGACTTGCCAGCTGGTCTACTAGCCGGACAATACGACTACAGTGGTTCTACACCTGCTACCTATTGGTCTGCTGAGCGTTGCCAGGTAGAGATAGGGGTAAGGTACTGAGTCACATACGAAACGCGGTTTCCTCAGGACATTTCCCCGCCATTAAAAGTCAAACACGGCAAGTACGATGCTCGGGGAAAGTGCATCGGTGCACGGACTTATCCTGTATCTACCTGAGTACCTACATATGTTGACTGTATCTTGAGTTAGGACCTCAGGTACCTACAAATGTAGCGTCTCCCTGATTGGAGACAGCCGAGATAGCCGAGATGAGCCAGGCCCCTTCTACATGACAAAAGTATTTCGGTAACAATATCTTAGGCAGGCTTGAAATAGGCTCTACGGCATGGGATTAGGATATCACCATGTAACTTCCACTTGACAGGATATTTTAGTTAGCAGTTTTAAAGAGACGAGAAAGATTCATTTCCTGTATGCGGTAACAGTGGCGTCTAGCAACTGTCCATTGTTGGCTTAATAGCTACCTAAACAGAATCATTCAGATAGTACCAGTTATTAACCACAAGATGACAACCTCTCACCCACAATTAACTTTGGAAAAAGGAAACTTCACAGAAGGTAGAGTCAAGGCCAATGACAAAATACAACAATCATCTCCCTCATTCATAGCATTGGTGACCAGATACATTGATTCCTCTCCTTCCTCTCTTCCCTCACGTCCTCATCGATTTCATGGTCGGCTATATCCTTGGTCAAGTTAATATACAATAGCCACCCACCTATGTAGTTAAGGAGAAGAAAGATAGATAACTTACCTCAGACAGAAGGCTGTTCATTATCCGCCTCATGCTGCTTCATAGCATGGTACTGATGACGGTATGAGCATCGTACAGCCGAACGCTTTGATGTGTAGACTCTAGTACACGGTTCCGCATTATTTCCTCTTCCAGGCCAAGAGCATTGGTACGATGTATCTCCATGCTTGATAGGCTTGTGGGTAAGCCTAATGTGGACTCTAAGCTGCTTCTCAGTGGTAGTAGTTGTAGCACAACCCGGCCGGAAACATACAGTTCCCATGTGGATAAACATGATGTGCTCGAGGAAACTGTGTCTAATTGTGTAACTTTTCCCACAAATAGGGCACGTGCTTTCTACGCGGCCTTGTGGATGTTGGCGATCCCGGCGACCCTGGTGATCCTGGTGATTCTCGTGATCTTGATTCTCGTGGTCGTGATTCTCGTGGTCGTGATTCTCGTGGTAGTGATTCTCGTGGTAGTGATTCTCAAGATTGTGGTTCTCATGATTGTGATTCTCATGATTCTCCAGATCCTGATATCCACTGTAGTCCTCCTCGTTATTCTCACGAATTTCAAGATCCTGGTAGTCCCCGAGATCCTCGTGATCCTCTTGATTCTGGACGGCTTGCTGCTGAGTTCGGGCGAGTTCCTCACTAAGTTTTGCAAAGAAGGCCGGGTCGATAGGTAAAACATCGGGGGGAGGAGCAGAGCCGGGTCTGTCTAAATTATGATGTTAATTGAAGAACACAAGTAAATAAAAGTATAATAAAGGATAGAGGCACCGTAATATCTCTTGAGCGATATTGACGCGAAGCAATCTATAGGCTACCTCCAAAAGATACCTTCAAGATCATAACTTCTAAAGGAGAATCATAGAAAAGGTTCACACATACAAACTATGCCAGGGGCCTGGACAATGCCATTTTCGAAATAATAAGTATCGGTAGGCGCGTGGTAATAATAAGACATTTTGTGATGTCTCGCCGTTCAGGTATCGTCAGCCTCGTACGATATTGGTAGCTGGTAGGTAGTAGGTATGTTGGTCGCGGGGTGTGACTTTGGAACAGCGACGTGGATGGTTGGCGACAAAAACAACGAGAATCAAAACGATAATGTGTGGTAAAGATTACAAGGTGAAGGTCGAAGGGCGTTGGTAGTGTTGTTGGTGAGAGTGAATAAAACGACACAAAACAAGAAGGAGCCGGAAAAGGTTGTTACTTCGGGAACACGTAACTCGGTAACAACAACCGCGGATCCACCACGTCACCTGTAGGCCTCAAAGACGTGTACCGCAGTGATGTTCCCGGCTGTTCAAGTGCAATTTATTTCCTATGCAGGGTGGCAATATGAATGAATCACTTGAAGAATGGCGATGCAGGTGTCAGCAAAAGACACAAATGCTGCACGCATTATTCATTTCCACCTAATCTCTAGATGGCGATAACACAAGATGCCAAAGCAGGCATTTTGATATAGGTCCATACCCCGATTTTAATGGCGCTTTTCCTAGGTATTATGCCCAATAAAGTGTTAAACCAATTTTAAAGAAGATGTGAAGCCAGATCTTGAGCAATCTATCGTATATATCAGCACTCCTTTGAATAATTTGGACCATCCTGCAGGAATACATAAGGGGGCAAGGCAATGTATCTATATAAGGGAAGTTCATATATCTAACATAATGAAACCCTTTCCTTAGCCTAATCACAAGCTGGTATTTTATATTGACTCCCTATTTGCTATTTCTTCTCATTTATTATCAATGCTCGATATTGTTTGTATATGCCTAACCTCACTATGTATGATTGTGCCGGCTTGTTGTCAGGATTCTAGATGAGACATCTAGGACAAAGAACGTGTACGTATATACGAGCCGTGGGCTCGCCAGATAGGTTAGAGTTCCTCGTGGAACAATGAAGTTGTTTCCATACTGTTTGGTTCCACCTCGTGACACTTGTGACTACTAAGAGCAAGAAACTATGACACGCCATGATTATCCGCCTAAAGAATAGTTTTACTACTGTAAGATGCTAAAAGAGGCCACATCACATGAGGAAACACAATGTGAGGTGGCAGGGGTCTAATCTTCAGCTTATAAGCGTAATGATAATCATTTTGACTCATGTATCTCCTAATGATATGGGGGTGGGATGCCTTATTTACCTATATGAACCTGCTATCTGGTAGCCATCCCCTTTAAATACCCCTGTTGTCCCTCGATAGTGATGTTTCATCCTAGAGCATTTAAAAGTTCAAGTCTACGCATTCCAGTTTCAGCTTCAACTAATGAGCCCGCATATGATGTTTCTTATATGTGGAGAATGTAGTGACTTGAGGGTTCTCGAAGCTGGGCCAGGAATATTAGAAGAAGGAATTCCAAGATAGACGGCTTCCACGAAAGCTAAAGGTGTCAAACAACAGAAGATAGGTACCAGCTATTCTGCCACGTCACCGAGTTACATTGCAGCTTATTTAAGTAGATCCATTGAAGAACGAGAAATTTAAAAGATTTTATCATTGCACGGAGAACTATGGGTCTATCTATATCTAGAACGGTAGGCATAATGAAAACGCTTATAATAACTACTATCGGTGTGTTAGGTCTAGTATCGGGGGTTTTGTAGAGTTGATAGTACGATATGCATGGTACACTTGACCCGGCTGTATTTAGTGTAGGGGGATTCCTAGGCCTTATATCGCTGATGCTCATTCAAGTTCCTTCACCCTCCAGCGCGTACGACAGTAGGTTCATTGAACGTGTTGAAGTTAAAGTGATAGTTTGGTAATACAGTAAAACCATCTGATGGATGAATAATATGACTTCTCCCTGTCTAAGGGAAGGTAAAGTGGGTTTCCTCGAGTATTAGTTGTAGTAACGGCGATGTTTTCTTTATAAGCCCTAGGTAAGAAAATGTTAGTAGAGGCTTAGTTCTGAGTTGGAAAGAAGCGGAAATAGAGGAGATGGGGGATACTTACGATGGGTTGTCTCCTACTTAAGATAAAGGCGACATAAGAGTATATCGGTGTTGGTAGTAAGTAGGCACTAGATTTGCCTTGTACAGTATTGATATATTTAGTACTTATTGCTGATATTGAAACCGAAATCTGAAAGAAAAGGGTTAATATAACCTCTGATTAAACAGGAGACAAGGGGCATGAGAGATAGTGGGGGGTTTTACATACCGGACATTCCTAGTCGCCTTGACCGTGAATATTGTTAATTTGTTGAGCCACCGCCCTCGATGTGCTCAACTGTCTCTCTGAAGTTGGCGGGGCCTACCTGGCCACAGCCTGCATCCTAGCCAACCTCAAGTGGCGCCGCCAGGTCTGCGAACAGGAGCCTGGGCAGGTCCATTGCCCCTGAAAACGTTTATCTAAATTAGCTTCCCGCTCTGTATATATAATATGTGGTTGTAATGCACTTACCTTTACAGGGCCCCAATGGCCTGCGGCTGGACCAGGTTGGAAGACTTGGCCGGAGGGGCACCAGCCGGAGTCGCACCAGCTGGACCAGCTGGACCAGCTGCTGATACAGCGTGGTCATCCGTCGTTAGTTACTCTTGCTATCATCCCTCTCAGCTCCGGAGACCGCCGTTGGTGGGGGGGTTAACCACAAGGTCCCGCTAACAGTTCTTATTGTTAGGTAGTTTAGGTTAGGGGGTGAGTATTAGCACCTGCGCGGGTGTTGCTGTGCGGGTGTTGCTGTGCGGGACCTTGGACTAGAGCTTTACATTCCTCATCATACAATCATATGATGGTAGTGCTCGTTGTCGAAGTAGGGCCACAGTTTTAGAGGGGAATTATAATTGGGTAGTTAGGGAGTTACTAGTTAACATAATGGTTAGTTCAGGACTCAGACCAAGACAAGAGATGAGGAAAAGAAGGGATAATGAGTCACAAAAGAACTCCAGGAAATACCTAGAAGGTAGCTGAAAGACAACAAGCGAGGAGAGTAAAGTTATACATACCGTTTAGTTATAATAATTAGAGTTATTTAACATCTCCACCCATAACATGGTTGTGAATTTGGGGAGAAGAAAAAATGTTGTCGAGGTTCCTCGGAATATTAAAGCTTATGTGGAACTGGTTTTGTATTGCTGGTGCGTTGTTAAATCTAAAAAGACTGCGGGACCTCGTCTGTTTATATAACCAGCCCCGGGGGCCTCGTTCCTTCCCTTGATGCCTCGATCGTGACTGCCTTAGTGTCCGGGATGTTACTCACGACTGTAGCCAGCTGTCCACAACTGGTAACGTGGACCGAATGTACCTAAGTTTATAAACATACGGTCTGTGCGTTGCGTAGCGCAAGCAGGTGCAACCTGCCTGCACAAGATGTGGTTTGAGACACTGTGATAACGTATCTATTAACGGTTTAATGAAGGAATTCGGGTGCACGATAATGCTTACTGTATGAATATCTGTGCATCTAAGGTTTCTATTAAATAATATTCCTTGATTAAACTAAACTAAGAACATTACTATTTTTTTTATTTTTTACAAACACTTAAGATGTCTCTGAATGTTTGACCGACACATGATCGTTGGTCACGTGTGAGGATACATGGTACATGTATATCGCACAGATGCCAAGTATAGGAGGGCTCCATTTTACATTTTACATGCGTCTTCAATTTTATTTCAACGTCAGTGCTACCAACCTCAAAAGACCTTGTGGTTCAGGTCAACTCTCACGCTAAAATCGGAATTTTATCCATGCCGCCAAACAATATCACATAACATAATTATGATTTAAACGAGTGAGCAACTATCTGGACTTCATGTTACGGTGCGTACAGGCTTGCAAACAGCGTTGCCAAACAACACCAAAGGTTAATGGGATCGCTGCAGCGCACCCGGGATATGATTCGGGGCTGTTATTCAAACGAGTGCTGTATTGAGGTAATGATTGACTAGCTAAAGGAAAGGGCTCTGACAAGCTCTTAAAAGAGTGTATGAATATGACCTGAATGCCAGCCCTGCGGCTAGCCCTGATGCTATCCCCAATTCAATCCCTACACTCTACCAGATGTAATGAGCGTGTCTACCTAGGTAGGTATCTAGGAGCATACTGTCGTTAACAAGGTCGGCGTCCTCTGGATCCATGGAGTCCCAGGAATCCGTGTCAATCCTCAGGCAACGTAGAATAGACAATTGTTGAACTCTGACGGAGGATCCTCACTTGAAAGTGGCAATTCTGCTCCTCACATTGCATTTATGTCCGAACTCTACGCAATAGTCGACGGGCTTTTCAAAGACCAGAACGATATCCGACCCTCCAAACTGGAAATAAGATATCTCGTCGCCTTTTTCGACCGACTGGCCTGGCTTCACTGTCAGAACAACCGACGAAACCTGGGCCATGCCAATTGGCAGTATAGCAACCTTGCCGTAGTTATCCGTCTGAATCACGACCACCCCGCGAGTCTGGCACCACTGGTAGCCGGGTTCATCCGGGGCATCGAGCTTTCTTGGATTTTTTCCACTGCCTGCAGTAGGGTCTCTCAAGCGCTTTTGACCTACGGGTGGCTTTTTAACTAAAAGACCTCGATCAGGGGCTAAACCGGGATGATCTGGGTCCTTGGTGACCTGAAGATAGACTAGCTCTTGGATCACCTTGGTCTCCAGAACTATCCCACTGACTGGTGCATGTTGCCGGTGATAGTCACTCGGACTGAGAAAGGCATGCATGAAACATCCATTATCGAAACCTTCCAATCCCCCCAGCAGTGTGTTAATTGGCCAGGCAAATCCTTTGACCGTGACAGTCCTATTATCCCCCCCGATAGTGACAATTCCATTCTTAACTGGGAATTGCTCGCCAAACTTAGAGTCCGCAGCGCTGACAATGACGTTGTCTTCCTTATCCTCCGGTATCAGTGGCCGCGCGACGTCGATGTCCTTCCATTTCCGGGCGAAGAACTGATTGAACGACGCCCACCCCCCTTCTGGCGGATCCTGCCACAAGTCTGCTTCTTTATTGTAAATAGGGTTCTCGTAGAAACTCTTAATCCCAGATGCAGATTCTCGGGTACTCAAGAAGGATCCGAGTTCCTGAGCGTAGTGTACCTGCCAAGATGAGAGTGGCTTGGGAACACTTCCAGCATTTTCGGGCCTGATACTGGTTTGGTAATCGGCGACCTCGGGTTGATTAAACACCCAGTAGAAGACCAATAATTTTCGAAGGAGGGCGTCGCCTTCCGTGTCCACTGTCGGAACCCATTTCAAGAGGTCATCGCAGAATCGAAAATAATCCTCCAATGTTTCGATACCTTCCTGGGACATTTCTAAGTGTCCGCCATTCTCTGGATCCTTAGCACTGTTGACAGCTTGAACAAAAAATTGATGTCTACCGCTATCGCAGGCAAAAGCCTTAAATTCCTGAACGAGTGGGTGGTATAAGGGACTCATGATTAGGAAAAGGGTGTAGTGATAGAATGATAAAATCTAATGTAGTAAGCGAATAATACTTTTAAGATAATTAGATCTTAAATCGCTCTTTTTGATAGTGGGCTATGATGAGTGTTTGTTTTGGAATGGAACTTGGAGGATATTTATACCTTTCCACCGGCATTGGCAATACCGATGCCCACTCCAAAGTCCCGGACTACTAGTCAATCCGGCACTTGGGAGTACCTATCAACTCTATTCTACTAAAGAATATCAGAAAAGTAAATTTGCAACATCGTCACGATCATCAGTATGCGTTACCTTGATTGAAAATAAAGCCAAGCTTATCGTTTGAGTAGTTTTGCATCGGCAGTAGCACACGAGCGGCAACAAGCCTGCTGAGACGTACATGGTAAATTAGCCAAGCTAAGATTTGCAACCTATGCAAAGATGTAGTTAGTATGGTATTGGTACAGCTAGTTTCGATCTGCTGGGTTCAATACTTCCAGGGATTCATTCATTCGATGTACGGGGTATTCTGGGTAGCTGGCGATCTAGCCCTTATAGCTACACTGTGTATCCTGGGGATTTAAACGCTCTTTTACTTTTCCGAACTCGTGCCGCGTTGAATCCGACTGGTAGATTCTTTCCAGCACATAATGAAGATGTGGGGAAGAAGACGGTTCTACATAGTATGACTTATGAGGCTGCATAGAAAAATGGAAATATTTGATGGGAAAGGTCAGGTAACAGACCTTACAACACCCGAGTTAAGTCTATAAAGTGTAATACTCAACATGCAGTTCTAGTATAAGAATGAGTGTATTTCTAACTTGTAGAGCTAATGCTGGTACCCTAATGGCATAAGTCAACAACCTATTTGTAACACATTCTTGTTTTTCGTATATCCCTTTCCGTCCGCTCTTGTGTAATTATCGTGATCCTGTCATCTCTTTCCCTTTCCCCCAGCCACCAACGACATGAGTGTAATTCGACACTAGGCTCTACGCATAGGCGAGTGCGTACTAGACATTATTTGCCAACAAGTACATGCATACCGGATATGATGAAACCCGTAACCTGATTAAAGGTATGTTGTCATTTCCAGCTGCATTCGACAACGCAACACGACGCTCTTGTATCACCAAGGTACATGTGTTATAACTTGAAACAAAGGATTTTATATCCTCCCACCGCCTTTACAATTCTGCATCGTAATACAAATCACGCGGCACTAGCAGATCTCGAATCCCAGTTTTGCTATTTCTGCAGGCTGTCAATCGTATATTGGACAGGGATCGTGGCTGTGTTGATGAGATGTCTTACATAGAAAAAGCCAATTCTGGGTGCTTACGCAATACGTTATATGCCAACACATTGCCTACCTAGTTATTTTCGGAGGGATAGAAGGAAATACAATATAGTATGACGCACGGGGAACTTTATTGATGCCTGTCGTGATTTTGTTTTGGGAGAGAAATGTTAGCTAGCCACTTGCATTGGGCGTTGCGGGCGCTAACTAACAAATAGCAAGGCGTTGGTGCATTGCATATGTACCTAGGAGGTAATATCAAAAGTCGGTGTCAGGATTCTAGATGAGACATCTAGAACAAAGAACGTGTTTCGCTAGATAGGTCTAGAGTTCCTCGCGGAAAAACGGCGTTGTTTCCATACTGTTTGGTTCCGCCTCGTGACAGTCGACGAGCTACTGTACGAGGCGCCTCTCCCGCATGTTGCTCCACATGGCGCTCCGCGGGAAGCACCCGGTTTTTCGACGCGGCTGACATAAACCCACGGTAGAAGGCAGTGAGTGAGAGTGCCGTACGATACGAGAGTCTCCCAACGGCATACGCTGCTGCGATGTCCCCGCTAGAGTGGCCTACCACTACGGAAGGGTGCACACGTTCCATCGCGAAGTGGTGTGACGAGAGCTATCTGGAGTGCCGTGATGGCCGGTTGCGCAATTTCGGCCTTGTTAATTTCATTGATATCCTCCTGGCGGAAAATCTTCGCCTTAAGATCCTAGGTAGCGCCAACCTCTCTGAGAATATCACGTGAGGTACGAATGGAATCACGGAATATGGAAGAGGGCGTTGTTTGATTAAATAGCTCAGGACCCGTTCCAGCTCATTGCGCGGCTTGGCCTGTGAAGGTAAAGATAATGTTTCTTCCAGAGGGCATTGGTTCATCAGGAATAGTTTGGCGGCCCTGCCCAAGACCGCGTAGTAGAGTGTCCAAGTTGGTAGCCACGCTACTAAAACGCCAAGGAAGTGCTGAACGATGATGAGACAGTGTATAAGAGAGATCAGCCAGCCACACAGCCACATATCAGGGTGCTTCTCAATCCAGTCAGTGTAGGACTCAGGTATAGAGTTAAGCGACGAGCAACTATTTCCGAGAGAATAGAAAGATGATAATACATGGCTGAGCAGGAGTCGGGACCCTCGTTATCTGCTTTTAATCCCTTGTCAAGAATGATGTGGGCGTTGACTCCACCATATCCAAAGCTGTTAGTAGAGAGTCGCAAAAAGCCTTTTCATGCTATGGCAATTTCGGAATGTGTAATCGATCCAGGGGTAAACCAGGTTTGTGGGTAATAAGTCCTACAACAGGGGGAATCACTCCTTGGTCAAGAATCAAAATTCCTTTGAGAAGGCTAACGAGACCACTATTGGTGCTTTCAGTATGGCCTATGTTTCCCTTATTAGGGCCAACAGCCACGCCTGATGCCATGGTAATATACGACAAATCATCGAGTTGTTTCGACTACATAGCAGGCAACAAAAGATTAATAGCCGCTTACACCTAGGTGGTTCGGTTGGAATTAGGACAACGCTTTTAAGGAGTCCCTATCTGGCCGAGATCCATACCATGCAAAATGGCGATCCCTAATCAGCGCCAAAAAGCTTGTCTCTCATGAATATGGATGTCTGTAACATATTTTTATAGTCTATATAGCCTTGCTATCCAATATACGTCCTCCAAGCATACGCTGTGTTTATTAAGTTATCTTGCCAGTATTAAATACAATATGCCCCTTAATATCGGCTTACTTTGAAGATTTATGTTCACAGTCAATATTGATTACGTAAATTTATCCCCGCGGCTATCTTAATTGCTAGCGTCTCACTTGTTGAGCATATAAGGGGCATTTCCCTTGATGACAACACAACCATAACATCCATGGTTCCAACCTTAAACAACAAGGGCACAGACTATCCAAGAAGGCCCGAGAACTGAACTTACTACCCAAGTTTACTTTATAAGTCTAGATTTCCCTTTCCATTATTGCCAGCCCTGGTGTAGTCGGAAGCACGGCGGAGCTCGGGTTTCTGATCTGAGCGCATAGTTCCGCAGGTCTGGGTTCGAATCCCAGGGGCGGGATATATCCTTCTTTTCCATAATTTGTATTTCTTTTAAACAACAGAAACAGTTATTGAATTGAATTGTGATTACGGTTATTACTTAGCAAGTACTTTACTTTCATTCGGCATATCAGGGAATCTTTTAGCAGCAAATATCTATTCGTCGGAGACGGTATATGTGTTTTGGATAGCATCAAATTTGGAACCGACTTAAGGCCCGGCTGTCACGAGGTGAGCCCAAAAAATATGCAACCAACTTCGTTATTCCACGAGGAACTCTAACTTATCTAGCGAGCCTGTGGCTCGTATATACATACATATGTGTTCTTTTCTCTAGAAGTCTCATTTAAAATCCCGACACCAGTTCGGTATTTACACAGCCAATATGTATCCAGGAAAGAAAAACTAGATTTATCATACACGACATGGAACACATATTCCCCCTGAGGACTTCACACATTGAATTTTCTTTTCCATTTATACCTATGATATGGATATAAATTATTTTAGGGTCTCCGGAATATTTATTCGGCCAAAAAATAGGTAATCCATGGGAATAGTATAGTTGCCTAGACTAAGATGAGACAACTTCTTCGAAGCAAATTACAATACGGTAAAATAAAATAATTTAAATATCGACGTCCAGACCGTGCCAGAGACGGGTGTTTCGGCTTCCTGCCCATCGTTTAATACATGTACCAACAGGCTACAATAAATAAAAGTCCCCTATGTTTTCGCTGGTGTCCCAATAACGAAACTTCCCCTGAAGCCTCCATCCCGACTAAACTAAACAAACCCCCTAACACCCCTTAGTATTCTCTACTATCGCTCATAGATATCTAGGTAGGTACTATTGCTGCAAGATATTTAGCGCTTCGATTCTATGGTTAGGGATAATCAGGGCACATTAGGTACATTATCAATAGTAGGGGTAGCCGCGCATATTATCCAAAAACCTCCCGACGTCGATTGATGATACCCCATATACAACCGGGGAAAAGCAATGGAATTCCGAATACATAATAATAACCGTAATATTATTACAATAAATAAAGATGGTTCAATTTCCCCTTTCGCCATAGAACCCCCGGCCCCTTTAGGATTAAGTAACAAGGATCCTCTGCGGGGTGTGTTTGAGGTGCGGGAATGATTGGTGAATGACAGGGCTATAGCGATGTCGGCTCCTGATATATGGTTTGGCGATTTCTCGTTTTCGCTGCTTTGTTCGAGACAGATCCTCCGCGGGGGTTGCGTCGCATTGGTCTGACTCTACGAGAGCGGAATACGCTCGTTTGGTGCCTAGAGTACCTGTCTGCGGCTCTGTACCCTTGGGGTCGATGATAGATACCGAGCTGTCTTTGCCTAGTTGTACTGGGCTCGGCCTCCTTAACTCTGTTTCTGTCTTGAAGAGTTGCGTCATTGTCATGTTCTTCGGTGGAATAACGACAGGTGCCGGATCATCTCTCTCCTCGTCGGGATTGTTATCCTCTGTTGTGGGACGGGGCGTATCCAATTCTGTTGGGATAGTTGGGCTACTCCTCCGCAACTTTGGAAATTCATTCTCGATAAGATCATCAATGAGATCGAAGTCTTCATTTGCTGTGTCATCGGATATGTTAGGTCCCCAGGGCATATCGAGGTCGTCCCAATCTGAGTCGATCTCTAGACTGTCTTGTTCTTTGGCAAGGCGACTTTCGTCGTAGGTAATTTCTCCGCTGTCCGGTAGAGCTATAATAGAACGAGGTTTACAACATCCACTGTCTACAAATTCACCCCACGTATCTTTCATCCACTCAAATACACGAGGGGGGCAGGATGACTTTGGGTTGATAGGTCTGTTGAAAGTTCCGTTATAGTTGGATTTGATAGATCTTTCCTCTAGTTCGGCATCGTAGTGGAAAGCCTGATGGCCATGTAAGTCAGTCCACGTGAGGGTTCTTGGGTGTCGAAGGAATTGTAGGTTGTGCCGGTTTGCTGCTTCGGCAGCTTGGTAGAGGCGGAGCCAATTCACCAAGCATGACAGACAGGGCTTCCACACTGGCCAGGCCACTATTCTTCGTTTGATGTTATGGCGGCTAGGGAGAGAATTTTTGACGGAGAATTGAGTTATGTCACAACGGCAGATGTTGGATGCATTACATTTCCTTTGGTCGCATGGGGGGGCAGCAATCTGGATAGCTCGGTCTTGGTAGATGATATAGACTCCTTCATCGGGAACGTCAAGATCCAAACCGGGCTGCTGGTTGATACCAGATATGATGGTGGTTTGTAGTTGACCATCGCTTCCATGGGAGGCTACTACGACAGCAACAGATCGGGATGGTGTTGATTTGCAGGCGAGGCGACCGTGGCAAATAGCCATCCTAAACGAGATGGGAAGTTAGAATATACGTAAATTCTGTGTCGTAGCTTGTAAAGCAAAGATAGGGTCGGTAAGCTAAGATATTTTCGTGTAGATGATAATAGTAGGCTAAAAAGAACCTGCGAGAATAGAGTCTTTGTTGTGTCTTTCACAATAGTTGACAGAGTGGAGAATGGAGAGTTGATGCGGCGAGAGAGAGAAGACGTAAGAAGGCTATATAGTGACTCGGGATGCTAGATTTGCCTCTGAGGTCAGCATGACAGTTCCAATACAATGACTATGTTTCACTTGACAAGACACTATCAATACAAGCACCAACATCGGACTGTTCAGCTTGCGGTAGGACAATGTGAATGTGTTAGGAATAAAGCTGATGTGTGGACGTCTGAATGTTGAAAGGGGTAACCTTGGGTCTACAAGATATCTGTCGGAACCGCATGGTGCTTATTAGATAAGGTGTCCATGGTGAATGATTGTTAAAGTATACCAGAGAATGGACATTGAAAGTAAGACCTTTAGATGTCTCAGGAGTGGTATAGAAGGTAGGCCATAAAAGGGGCTTGTGCGCGAAGCAAAGTCTATTTAGATATGCTGAATAACTAACATTTGCCTCCTACAAAGCAGTTAGCTAGTGTTGATTTAGGACGCCAAATTGTATAAAGTACCTGTTGTATAAAGTAGTTGAGCCTTACCTGGCCATATATACCCCTTTGGGTGCTTCATTGTTTGACTAAACTTAGGAGCTGGTAGAAGAATAGAGGTCTTACATGGATGCCTGATAACCTTTGAAATAGTGATAATCTTGAGAAAACAATCCAAGACCGTTAAGTGAGTTGTTACCTAACGATGGTAAACGGACTAACGTTGTCTGGGCGGCAGTGTAGGTATAACTTGTCTGTTTTCTTCGCATACAAACGTAACCCCCCTCCCGAATAATGGTACCAAGCTACCGTCCCTTACAGGAATCTTATTTAGGCTGCCCCGGCACCGTGGTACCTGAACCTGAGATAAACATACAGAACGGAAGCGCAAAGAGTCCGGGGAACAGTGTGATTTGATCCTTCCAGCCCAACCATCAACCTAACCTAACTTGCCCCGTATGATGGCTTACAATCTAGTGATAACAAGGAGGCGAAAAGAACCGGAGAAGAGCCTGATGAAATACATACCACTTTCGTAATAGTGATACTACTGTACCCTGTAGATGTCAAAGTATTGGGTTCAAGAAATTATCGGCTTGCTCTAGCACCAAGTTCAAGATTTCGATGGATGAATGTATGTAAATTGGGGATCTGCCTCGCAACATATGAAATTGATATTGCCCTATTCATACGATGTTCATCATCGAATCAGTGATGCCAGACATAGCCTCTACACGTGTCATGGTATGACTTGTAGCCCCTGTCAATACCTGGCAATGTTAGGCCGTGATTGGGCCAACGCCGTAGATCAGGTGAAGTCGCGTAGGATGCAATCGGTCAAAGTAGGCCAAAATACGTGTCATCGCAGAAGGCGTGTTGTATTTCCTAGCACGAAATACATGCTAGCTCGAATGTTCCGTCCGTAGACCATAGAGCGCAAAACCCTTCCCATGCATGCAAAGTGCAAAGTACTGCCGAAAACGAGAAACCGGACCCCAATTCCATAGTCATCCTCATCAGCCGCCAGCGCCTTAAATTTCCGTGGTGACCTTGGCCTTGGCGTTGGTGACCTTGACACCCAATTGCTTCGCTCGGGCAATGATGTCGACTCGCTTTCTCGACGAGACGGCGTGGGCGATCCTGTAATATTATTAGTTAACCTGGCCGTATCCGGGTCGGAACCACCCTTTCCATGCAAATTTTTAGGAACGTACTCTGCGGCGTAGGTGCGGTTGTGCATTAGGAGCAACTCAACATCCTTGATGTTGTTGACGAGGAAGGTCTTGTGGCCGGAGGGTGTGAGGTGGCGGGTCTTCTTGTTGGAGCCGAAACCGATCTATATCGCAAAATTCATATTAGCATGATACTCTTTTCCACCTAATATCGCCACATCTAAATATCTAAATATTCATAGCTTGAGATATTTTCGAGGGCGAATTATCTGAACGAGGAATGGCACGTACCGAGGGCATGGCAGTGTTGCCACGGAATCGTCGTCGGACTCGGTTGTCAATACCCTTGGGCTTGCGCCAGCTGGAGGAGAGACATTTGAACCGATCGCTCTGGTGGCGGTTGAAGCTCTTGGTTCCTACAAAATAAATTCCGTCAATATCTCTCCCTCAATATTTCATCATCCATAGCCTCGATCCATAAGATCCATAACCGGAGCGCATCGCGACAATCGAGAGGAAAAGTGACGGGGAAGGAGTCGAACGTACGCTTCTTGACGATCGGGACGTGCTTCTTAGCGGCAACCATCTTGAGGGAATAATTGTTAGCTAAGAATTATCTTTGGCAAAAAAAAGTAGTGTAGCCGCAACGGTGGTAGATATTTATTTACCTTGACTGATTTCCTAGAGGTGTCGTGATGGGTGGATGTATGGTGATGGGCTGCTGGTCTCTACCGCAAAAATTGAGGTACGTTACGTGTAGAGGGACCGAAACTTTCCAATGGGCACAACAGCCGAATTTTGCGCTAAGGGTTTTTGTTAGGGTTGGTGAAATTTATCACGTGTGGACAAATAGATGGAATTAGTGGGGTCGAAAAGTTTCGGCTCAGCTTGGCCCTAGCGCTAGCCACCTAATGGAACCATTCACCCACCCACTTTCAGCCCCAAGTGGCTTTACTCTACTGGTGTATGTACCCAAGTACCTAACTTGGTTAGGTAGACCAGAGATACATCAAGGTATCTACCTATTTCTCAAGAGTTCCAACTTGCCTTAGTTAAGTACATTAGATACGGAATTACTCCCATTTTATTCAACTTAACTGATCTTTCACCCTCGTTCAACTCAACTTCACTTTGATGTTATCATTTCTCGATACGATACTGCCTTTATTTCAGGGCCTACTACTTAGCACAATAGCGATTCATCACCCAGAGATGCATGTCTGGTCTATACAAGCCACTGAGTATCTAAGGTAGGAGACTATCTAATAATAAACTCCCCCTGATCAGAGTTTAGAGTTGCTATTAGAAATTTCGAAAGGAGATATGCCATTAATCCTCCTTCCAGGGGAGAAGTCCTGCCAGGATCTTTCTTGCCTCTATCTATCCTATTTCCATCCCTCTCCATAACTCGGTTACGCACCTGAATCGAATGATGGAGAAATGCCTATGCCTCATCGTAACCCTGACTCGCCTTCACGGTGTTTCCAGTCTTTACTAATCGAAGCTCATGTCTCATAATTCATTACTGCTGGGCACATTGTGCTTGTCCGCCGGCCTCGTCGTCATCATCTTCCCATCCATCTCCGAATCGCGGATCCCCAGAGTTGGCACCCATCTAATATAAAGTCAGTATATTTTACTCTTGTCAGTAATGCAGGGAATACGACATACCTCATCAATATCTGCATCGTCTTCGTATGCAACGTCATCAACTTCCTCGGCTTTGATCTCCGGTGGTGGGCCAGGTAGTAGCTTCTGAAGAGATTCGTAGGCCGCATCGTCCTTGAGCCATCCGTCCTCGGGGAACTCAATCTTAACGACAAGATACAAGTCACCTTTAGCCTCACCCCGTTTCACCGGCATTCCTTCTCCTTCCACCTTAAGTACCTGTCCTGGGCGTAGGACCTTTCCTCGAGGGTGGTTGATATGGATACCTCGGCCATCAAGATGTTTGACGACAACACGAGAAAACCCACATAGGGCCTCGGCAAGAGTAATGTCCAGGTCAGCAGAAAGATCGTTGCCGATGCGGTTGAATACCTCGTGGGGTTCTTCCTCAAGGATGAAGACGAGGTTGCCAGGGGTCTGGTCGGGGTTCTGGTCAGCCTCGCCCTCTAGCACGATGCGCTCACCTTGGCGCGAGCCACGAGGAATATAGATCTCTAGCGGCTTCGTCTCGGGAACGGTCCGGTTGCCTTTGCACTTCTTGCATCGATCTTTCTCTTTGAAGTAGTTGCCAGAGCCTTGACACCTATCACATACGGCCGATTCACGAGTGACCAGACCAGGGCCAACTTGTCGGAAGGCCTCTACCATACCATGTCCCTTGCAGCGATCGCATTGTGTGGGCTTCACCTTCTCTTTGCCGCCGGTCCCCTTGCAAGTCGCGCAGATGACGTTCTTGTTGGCTGCGAATTTGACAGTCTTGCCTTTGTAGAGATCCTCCAAGCTGACAGAGTACTTGGACTCCTCGTCAGCGCCGCGCCTGGGCCGTCTGGGACCTCCTCCGGGACCTCCCATGCCACCGCCCACTCCCATGCCAAACATCTGGGCAAGTATATCGTTGATATCTACTTCTTCGCCCATGCCTCCTCCCCTTGATGAATCGAAGGCTGCCATGCCATGCCTGTCGTATAAGGCACGCTTTTCTTCATCTCGAAGAATCTCGTAGGCTTGAGTAACCGACTTGAACTTGACTTCGGACTCTACTCGTTGGTCTTCGGGAACTTTATCGGGGTGATGTTGGAGTGCGAGCTAAAATATGGCGATTCAATTAGCATGTTTAGCGCGGAGTCAAGGTAGACGCGAGGGTTCCTCACCTTCCGGTAGGCCTTCTTTATGTCATTTTGGCTTGCATCCTTGTCGACGCCGAGAAGCTCTGGGGTCGTTGAGTCAGCAATCAAATTCTGCGGATGTACGTAAAGTCGCGATACAGGAAAGCGGACAAGCGGACGAGCAGACAACTTACCGTACAAGTCAATATCGTCGCTACCGGCACCCGGACCAGGTGACGCCATTGCGAAATGTAGTCGTCGGAATGAAGCAGATAGCCTTGTGTTTTCTCTGCAGAGATTATGGCCGTAGGGATAAAGTGGGTTGGTTCTTGAAGTAGGAAAATATTTGGCGGGGCAGTTTTTGAGCCTTGGACCTTTGGACCTTGGACCCTTTGGATAACGACACTAGAAGTGGATGCGTAAATGGTGTGACCAACCTTGATGCGCAGTAACTTATCCTTGACTAGCTTGAAAGAATTTAAGATTTCCTAAGAAATCTCAAATTCGACAAGTTTTTGATGCGAGGAAAGAAATTTACAAGGCTGAGTTGTTGTAAAGAGCGGGTTCTACAAACTTGCGTGTATATCGACTTTAGCCTTTCGTTACCCCCCACATCCTTGGTGTTAGGCTAGGTAAGTACAGGACTACCTATGTAACTACGTAATTTCTAAGCGCCCTGGAAAGGTACATAATTCGCATATTATGTAAGTACGTACTTTAGAAGTAGTTACCTATTCTCAACGGTTCATCGGCTACTAGTCATTACCAAAAGCTGCACGATTTCGAAACTTTGCGCCTCTATCGCGTCTCACCAACGAAACCCAACGAATCAAAGCTTGTCGATAATCTAGTGCCTATCCACTAGAACAAAGCTAAAAATTTTTAAATAGAAATATCGCAGCACAGAGATCAGTAGTGTACGATAAGGCTCGATAAGATATATCTCTGGTCTATTCAGCAACTCATGCAGTCAGAAGAGAAAATTAATGGCTGGGTCTTGGCATTTGACCTCCTTAAATGATTAGAGTAAAACACATGATAAAATGATCATGATAAAAATATAAAAATTATCTTGAACAATAGTAAAAGCCAAAGAGTTAGATAGTGTATGGTGTTGAATTTAGGGTGAAATGCCAAGACCCGGCCATTAATTTTCTCTTCTAACTGTTATGCCAACCATCCCCTGAGTCAAGAGTCTACGTGAAGTCATCACGAATTCAGCCGCCTCAGTTAACTTTCATCTCGTATTAGATAATCAATATTTTCTCGTCACATCCCCTAATCAGGTTACTTCCTCCGCAATCCTTCAGTCGATCACTTTACTTTTTTTATACGTTGGAGTCATGCAACTCAGCCGTAATAGGGCTTCCCCGAGGGTGTCGTGCATTGTGAACTTCTCAGCTGCGAAAGTGATGCTTTTGGTCTCTAATACCTACGCTCCAAAAGCGCATCTATGATATGATTTCCTCAGTTAGAAAGCTAAACCACTAGTTAAGTAATGTGTATAGCTAACGTATATATCATAATATTTATGAGGTGTTTCTTAACTGCTTAGGAGGGGGTGTAATATGTCGAATGGTTGACTATCGCATCATATCTTTGAGGACTATATGGTGGAAGAATCACGAGCCCTCGAAAAAATTCACGCTCCCCTTGCGTGGTGGGATCACTATATACCTAGCTGCTGACGTGGTTATGATGCATCTAGCTGATCTGGCGATATTTTTTCTAATAAGTCTACATACGTTAAGCCTCGCGGTGAACGATCAGCCATGTTATGCTATACCACTTTTCACGCATCTCCAGATAGCACACCCGGCCTTCGCACCTTTTATATTCGACCTTCCAATCCTAAGTCTCTCCTAATTTCTCTTTTCACTCATGTTTTATGAAACTCCACTCCACGGTCTACACGATGCAGTCCTCGGTCCTATCTCCTCCTAGCTGGTTCCATTCCAGAGAAGGCATAGCTTTAGGCCAGGCTGCCTCTCGAGCAGGCGTTGCTAATGTCGTCCTGAATTTCACCGAGTTTGATTTCACAAAGGCCTTCAACTTCATCAAGGAGAAGCTTAGCCCTGAGTTCGTGCAGGAATACTGGCTTGTCTCGGTGGCAGATGCTTCCAGGGGGTGTTATATCAGCTGCCGCAAGGTTTCCATATGTTGGTTTTCTATTAAATTCCTTGATGTGCTGTGGTGCCTGCTTTGTATGTGAATTATATAACCGGTTCCCTGCGATTTCTACCTACCACCGGCTAACAGACAAGCACTTAGTCAGTAGGACTGCTGGGCCTTCTCCCTGGTACCATCGTAAGTAACTCTCAATCTTGTAGCATATAATTAATTATTAGAGTAATTATTAATCTGGCTTGCCGCAGTGCTTGATGGACTCAATGTGACGAAGCCTAACGGTACCGCCGATGGCACGATTGACGTCGTCACTCTCAATCGTAATATTTTCGAGAAACCGAACGATGCCGATGTCATTATCCACCAGGAACTTGACGAATTCTTCCCCATGAAAATTGCGATGCCGGAGAACATCACTCTGACACCATTGACAGGACGTTCCAAGCGTTCAGTAACAGCCCACCATCGCCGTGTTCTTCGGTTCACATACTAATAGTCTAAGGCAGGCCGCAGATGATCTTGACCGACCACGAATCAGAATCAAGAGCTCGCCCAAAGACTACTAGTGATGGGATTTAGAAAGAAGGGCCAGACGAAGACTAGCATGATAGGATCCTCAAGTGATGTTAAAATGCGGCCGAAGGGATGCTGCTAACACTTTTGAGATGATGATGGATTCCATCCTAATAGTTGGTCTATCTGTTAAGGGTAGTTATAAAGGGGCCAGGTCAGGGGTACCTTTTAGCAACGGTTTCCTACTTATAGCCGATTCAATTCTTGTATTGGACATGGATGGCCAGTTGGGTGGTGTACGGAGATATGAACAGCTCTAAGCACTGGGATGACTTCACGTTTCTATTATGTCTCGATAGTTCTCATGGTATATTTCCTCATGCATCTCTAAGTATTCATTAGGTAGTCGATCATTACTTCCATATATCTAACCTTTCTTAAAACCCAGTCTCTCAACGGTTGTGGCACACCAGATGTCACAGATATATTATATTGGATGAACCTTGAGGTTTCATCTGCTGCCTGCTTTTCCCAATAAGCCTCCGCTCCAATCTAGATTAAATATGCGTGCTACTGGTAACAGCCTGGTATCATACAACCCATAAGATCTATGCTAGCCCTAAAAAAAATCCGATCCCCAGGTCTAATGCTTCTATGCTATTGTTACAAGGAGAGATGGGGGTGTATAATATGGCAGAAGTAGAATAAAGGGGGGTGGGTCGGTTTCCACAGAGGTTTCCTAGAACCTGGAAATATCCCGCCCGAATATCCACGACATAGCCCAGTAGAAGGGTACCGTGATCTTGTTCCTGACGCTCATGCTTCGCGTTAGGTACGCGGTACGCCATAGGACCCAAGCCGTCCAGCCCTTTAACTCGTCGGCATCGCTCTGGTGAATAGCCGTCCAGCTGCCGAGATAAGTCATAGTACCCCAATTGCGGAACTGAAAAGGTTTCTGATCTACGTCGCCCTTGTTCAACCTCCTCGCGAGATGCGCTGCTTGCTGGCTAGCAACTTGCGCCGTAGCGGGTAGACTCATCCCAGGGATCACCGAGCAATCGCCGACACTGTAAACATCCGGTATCAGTGCAGCTTTTTGTTCCTGGGTAGGAACCGACTCCGACGCGGAAGAATGTGGAATCATATTCACGCGGAGGTTTGCGTCGGTGATGATGCCGCCCGTCTTTGGGTCCCTTTGTAGCTGCATATCAGCATCTAAACCCGGCATTTTGAAGACTTTGCTCTCCAATTTCTGGATGAGCGGGTTCTGCATCAACCCTGTGCTCCATACCACGATGCCAGCGCCAATCTCCTTGTCGCCGCACTCCTTAATCTTTAGTTTTAGACAACCCTCACATTCCTCGTCAGGTCGGACGCGTTGTAGGTGGTGTTCTGTCTTCACCTTGATACCCTCGCGGTTGAACCGGTCCATAGCATAGTCGGCCAGTTTCTTGTCGAACATTGGGAGCACTTTTGGCGCCACATCGTACACCGTAATGCTGACGAATTTCATGAGATCCGGATAGGTTTTTGTTAGGTCGTCCCGTATTAAGTCGTGTAGCTCGGCAGCATACTCTATGCCGGTTGGGCCGCCGCCTACGATCGCGAAATGGAGTAGCTTCTTGCAGTCTTCGTCAGATGTAACTGGGAGCGCCGCCTTCTCGAAGTTCTGCAGCACCCTCATCCGGATCTTCCTAGCGTCGCCGATGTCCCGTAAGAAATTAGCGTGCTCTCGGACACCCTCAATTCCGAACGTCTGACTGTACGAACCGACGGCAATGACTAGTTTGTCATACTCGACGTCGAACATGGCCCCTTTAACACCATCTGGACGATGCTTATCAGCTAGCCAGGTTTTTGATGCGATATCGTCTGACGTATTAGCCTCTACGCGGATAACTTTACGCGCAAAGTCAATATCGTCAGCCCATCCCTGGTGAAACTTGTCTAGACCGAGTCTCCTGACAGGTTCTGTAACGGCACGGAATTCGAGAGTGCCGACCGCAGTACCTGCAAGTAAAGGGGTAAAGACGAAGTATGAGCGAGGAGAGATCATGATGCGCTCGTATTTTTTAGGGTCGAGACTGCGAGCGAAGCCATAGCCAGCCCATCCAGAACCCAGAATCACCACTCGCTCCTTTCTACGGCCATTTTGGGTAGCCGTGCTGGCCTGTCGTAAGCCGCGGGGAATGCATTGTAGTTGATGATCTAATCCAGAAGGGTTCGATAAGGCAACTGAGCTTCTGGTTAGCAAACGATGGCTTGCCCTAACGGTATTATTCATTGAAGGTGTCGTGGCCATGATGGGTTAACCATACACGAGATACCTAGCAGAGAGTTGTTCTACTTCAAGTTTGGGTCAGATGGCCTCTATGACTTCGATGCCTCCTATAAAACATGTTATTTGCTGATGAAAAGACGTTGATATAAAAAATGTAAAAGTGACGTCTAGGTGACGAAAATAACACGGGTTGATGTAATCCACTTTGCGTCTTTTCTTTAATCTCACCGCCGGTGCCAGCTTACTCAAAGTGAGGCTAAAAAAGCGCCCCTGACTCACCAACTATTCTAATTTAATATCCCGCTTGGCCGGGCTTATTAAGACTGGTACTTGCATTAACCGACGAAGCCGGGCTGGCCGGTCGCACGGTCTACCCCTTTCCGGGATTTTTTTGGGCTTCGGGGATTAAGTGGGTCTTCTTTGTTCCGAGCGGCCCATATTAAAAATAAAGGTGAAGAAGCTTATTCCCACCTTAAAAATATTTCGGTAAACTTAATTTATACTTTTTTTTTAACTATTTAATTAAAATCATTGTTTTACTTAAATATATTAATTTTTATTATCTTTAAATTAATTATTTTAATAAATTAAAAAGTTATTATATAAATTTATTTCGCATGTAATTTATATATTTATTATTAATTATTTAATTTTACTTATTATTTATTTTTAAACTTTTTATTAAAATTTTATGTAAAATAAATAAAACATAAAATACTTTAAACACGTAAAACCATAAGTTTTTTATATAATAACGAACTTTTTTTTATATTTTTTAAACTTATTTTATAATGGTTTAAACATAAATTAATAATTATATAATGTTAAATTAATTAACTTCATGTAATTTAAAAATAATTTAATTATTTATAATTTTTTATATTTTTATTTATATATTAAAGTTTTATATTTAAAATATATATATAATTTTAAATTTTAATTAAATTATTTAAATAATTAAAAATATTTATTTATTTTATAATAATTAAAAGTTTTATTATTTATATTTTATTATTAAATTAAAAAATATATTTAATTTTAATTATATTAAATAAAAAAGTTTATATAAAATATAATTTATATTAAATTTATAATATAAAATATTATCGAAAAAATAATAACCATTTTTATTAAATTTTTTAAATAATAAAAATA